AGAGGTGATTTAAGGTTAGTAAACAAAATGAATATAAAACGATAAAAATTGCATACTTTTTTTCATCCTACTTCCTGTGAGACAACTAAACTGATCACATTGTCGGTGTGCAAATTCGTTTGTGCTACCCTCGAGGCGAAAATCGTCCAAACGCTGTTTGTCTAAATCCTGAATTTAAGGAAGTTACAAATTTAATCAAAAGGCCAATTTAACTCTCTCCTGTCATTTTTTTCCTTTTGATCTTTTACCTTGACAGTTTTTGTAAGATATAAAAGTATATAGGAAATAATCAGTGACATTTAGCTACCCTTTGTCATGACCTTGCTCGATCACAATGACAAGGGCATTATCCTGGTGACATGAACACAGTTTGGCTGTAAAAAGGGCCTGTCAAAAAGTGATAGATGCCACCTGTCACATGCAAGTGAAGTTACGAATTAATAAGTGATTGACAGGTGTGGAAAGAGTGAAAGGTATAAGGCTTTGAAATGGGGAGATAAACGCTCCTCCTCAGAGACCCTCTTGTGGTCTCTCATGCAGTGGTGACGTTGACACGCAAAGACGGCAAAAGGCACACTTTCCACATCGTCAATGTCATCATCCGCCTCGCACCCTCCACATCCTTTGCACCTCTCCGATTTTACGGATTGGACAGAGAAACTTCAGAGACGTCTTAAAACGGATATGTTATACATCCTTTTGCAGGAGACGACGGATAGATGGGAGTTCTGACCTAATTAATCCCTTTTTTTCTTCTAAATTTCCTTCTTATATTTTTGCCTGGAAAAATTGTGTTTCAGGCGTAAGAATTAGGGCAACTTAATCAAGGTACAAAGCCTTTTTTTGTACGTTTTTTCATGATTTTTAAAACTTTACTTGTCATTGTTATTCCCCTTAAATCTGGTTTGGAAGATTAAAGTCAATTTCTTGAAGAGATTCGACGATTGATAGACTCGAAAAAGTCCGATTGAAGGGTTTCGATAATTTGTTTTACATTTTATCCTCAATTGTCACTTTAGTCTTGCTTATTTCCTCACCTTGGCCGCTTATTCCGCCTTTTCAGGCCCCGTCTCCCCTGTCACGAGGGCGACTTGGAGAAGGAGAGCCTTTACAATACATTCTCCCCTCTCTCTCTCTCTCTACCTTTTACCTCCCTCTTGCCCCGCCTCCTTCACCCTCCTTCGACTCACCTAATTGATAAACAGCTGACACTTCAAATTTAAAATGCGCGTCACTTGGAGTAAATCAATAATTTAACCAGATTTTTTTCTGTAAATTTTAGCCCAACTTGACAGGATTTCTTCTCTCCTCTGAAAGTGACATTTAAACCTACACCTCCGATCTTTGTTGTCGTCAAGGTGGAGAAATAAGGAGGCCTTTTTTGGACTGAATTTCTGCCTTTTTGAAGTTATTCACGCACAAAGGGAAACACACAAATCCATACACACACATTGTTGGAGAGAGAGAGTTTGGTAAGATAGAGAGAGAGAGAGTGAGAGAGAAAGAGAGAAGGAAAGGCAAAGCGCAAGCAAACAAGCGAGAGAGAGGTCTGACTTGCAAATTTTAATCGGTTGTTGAAAGGCTTGTTTATTCTAATAAAGCCCAGGAACCAACGAATCACAAGCCTCGGTGCACTTGATGTATTATCGCAACACAGCACTGAGCCAACCAACCAGTCGGTACGCTTCGGTCATTGTTTGGTCATGTCGTCGTGCTGTGATGTAAATCAACTTGAGTGTGGCCTTCACTCGCTCCAACTGAGCCTGGCTAACGGTGCTGCGTCTACAGACAGGCCTCCATACCAAATCAGTGATTGGAATATGAGTATTGACGCCGTCTTGTCACAGGGCATTGTCAGTCGACAAGACAATCAAAATGCTGCGGCACTCTCCGCTGAGGAGGGAATTGCAAAACTTCTCAATCGTACAAATTATACCATTGCCAAGGAGAACGGACAACGTCGTTATGGACCACCACCCAATTGGACGGGTGAAATACCACCACGAGGATGTGAAGTTTTTGTGGGTAAAATTCCTCGCGATTGCTTTGAGGATGAGTTAATACCAATCTTTGAGAAGATTGGTCCCATCTACATGTTTCGCTTGATGATGGAATTCAATGGGCACAATCGAGGTTATGGCTTCTGTGTATACACCACACGAGATGATGCCAAACGTGCAGTGGATGAGCTAAACAACTACGAAATTAGGAAAGGCAAAACTATTGGAGTGTGCTTAAGTGTGGACAATTGTCGTCTCTTTGTGGGTGGCATTCCAAAGAATAAAACAAAGGAGGAGATACTTGTAGAGATGCAAAAAGTTACCGATGGTGTCAAAGACGTTATTTGCTATCCCAGTGTAGCTGATAAGACCAAGAATCGAGGATTTGCATTTGTGGAATATGAAAGCCACAAAGCAGCCGCTATGGCCAGACGAAAACTTATTCCTGGTCGAATTCAACCCTGGGGCCAGCAGATTGCTGTTGACTGGGCTGAACCAGAGCGGGAAGTTAATGAGGAAATAATGATGAAGGTGGGTAGTTAAAACACCTTTTTTTTACAAATTAGCAAATTCATTCTGTTTCTTATAAATCTTTTTACTTTAATATAATATAGGTTAAAATTTTGTACGTCCGAAACCTGATGCTTAGCACCACAGAGGACCAACTACGTGCCCACTTCTTGGAGGCTGCCGGAGCTGGAGATCAGGCCATTGAACGAGTAAAGAAAATTAGTGACTATGCTTTTATTCACTTTAAAGATCGTGAAGTGGCACAGAGGTGTCTGGAAAAACTAAACGGTACATTACTTATCTTATTTCATCATCAACCTTATTCTTGTGTATTTCACTTCTTAATTTTCGAAATATTTTATAATGTTAGGATATATGTGGGGTTTTTTATCTTTATGTTATATGCGAAGCAATTTGAACACGATTAGAAAGTTTGAATTTTTTGTCAATCAGCTGTCTCTATATTGATCGACAAATATCGACGTGTAGATTTTTGACATCAAATCAGCTGTTTATAACGCTTGAAATGATTACCTTTTCATAGGTATTAAAGTTAGTCAAGTGTTAGGAATGATTGGGACGGAAATCCTTTCTTTATGAGCGAACCAATGGGAAGGTAGCCCAGGAGGGGGGAAGACAAGCACCTAGCCAATAACCTCATGAGGTTAGGCGAAAGCGAAAGAGGAAGTACTCTCTGATTGGTTAATTAGTTGCCTCTGGTTAATCAGGTACGACAATTGATGGTTCGACGGTGGAGGTAACATGGGCTAAACCTGCAGACAAAGGCGAACCTGTTCGCTCCCAAAACGTCCGTTCAGGTAGACAGTTGATGGACTGGAACCTAAACGGGGAATTTACAAACACTGCCAACTATTTTCTCGATCCGACTACAGCCTTTTTGGCTGGATTCAGTCCTCTCGTGCTTCCTGGATCGGGGTAAGTTCTTTATGAAAGGCCTAAATCATTGAGTAACAAAACGGGAGCACTTTTTTATTCATTACATTTTTTAGATGTACAAGAAGTAATTCCGCCAGAACTGGCCGTCGAAATGCGGCTGGAGGTAGAAGCGCTGCCGCCCAACGTGAAAGGAAGCATCCAGTAGAGGTGAATTTCAACTCTTTTATAGTAGTCCTATAATTAAAAAACCACTCATAAAACCAAGATAATTACCTGATAGATGCATTGAATAGTGATTTTGCATAGTGCCTGTCAATCACTTAACTGAATATGCCTTTTATCGTGTTGACAAGTTACAATTTCTGGAGCTACCTTACCGTGAGTTCCTTTATAACCTACCAAATTGAGGCAACAAGAATTTATTTTTCCCCGCTCAAAGAAGAGATTAAGAATAAGATAGCTTTGCCCTCTCCCTTCACTCCCCCTTCCTTATAAGTAGGCGTTTCAGTAGCGCTTTCTGATTCAACCACACAGCGTGGAGAAGATTATTAGCCTTGCAGCCTACAAAATCATTGTCTCTATGCGCTTGCATTTTCCCGGTGAATGATTACAACATCTACCGATCCACTTTTATAGTGCTTTGTTCAACTGCTGTCTCCTTGATTGTTTCTGTGCGAGTGTGTGTGATTGGCCATGGACGGAGATCATTCACCCCTCTCTTTCACTCACTGATCCTCTCTAATTAGTCCAGCACCCACACACAATATAGCCGCACAAAAAGGCAAACCTAAGAAAGCATTGACGGATCTCGGAAATAATTGAGATAGCAAAAAAGTGATACCTTCTCTCTACTATTTTATTGGTATTGCTATTTGTCCCACCAACTCTCTCTCTCTCCCACTCACCTTCCACCTTGATCAGGCAATGTGCGCTAAATAATATCATCAAATAAAAGAAATTCATCCAAATTGGTTTATCAATGTGATTCAGATTATTTGACAAGAAGAAGGTAAACATGGAGTAGCTTTACCTTGACACCTGTCTAATGTTCTTTTCTGATAGAAACTTCAGCAACACCAATCCAATCCAATGGTGTACCAGGAGGTTCGTTGTACACCCTATCCATTTGCTAACCCAGCTGCTTACTTGCATGCCATCTCCATCTCCTGTTCTCTCCCCAATTGCTGCACCAGCTCATTCCTTTGTGTGCATATGTGTGTGTGTGTGCCCTTGTGTGGGTGGATGTCTTCAAATCTCGTCCATTCAACAGTTTAAATTCAAACATTTCCTATTTTTTCCATCCTTCTCACAGATTATGGAAGAATTTTGCCAACGCAGTGGTTTGGAATCTCCAATTTATTCAGCCCTTCCAGTGGATATTGTCGACTGTGCAACTGGTGGAAAGATCCAACTTTTTATCGGTCAGGTAAGACTTTCACTTGTTCCAAGCCTTTCTAACGTGGCGAGTAGATAGAGACACTTTGTTTATAAAGTGTAATTTATTCTTTTAAGTCACATATTGCAATAAAATGCAGCTCTGTGTAACTCGAGTGGTCCAGAGACCCATCAGTAAAAGTAGCATAAAGAATACATGCGTCCTACTGCCGTAGATTCATCATTGACGTTGACATTTTTAATCCTCATGTACAATCTGAGAGTCATTTATCCCAAAATTATGAAAACTTAAAAGATTTGAAGACTATTGTCAAGTTTATTGCCAAATTATCTTTCCCTTTCACCTTACTAGGTCATTATATCCAGCCTACGATTGCGGTACCTCACCCCGGGCTACTACAATACAGCGGAAGAGGCTAAAGTAGGTGCAGCTGAGACAGCTGTCTACAATCTTCACTACAGTCAACTTCAACTGGCCATGGCTGATTGTACGTGTCCTTTTGAGTACAACCACCCTCGCTTTTCACAATCATTCACACTTTCCCTTTTAATGAGGCCAACAAAACGAGCCCATTGTTGTTAGCTTGTCAATTATTGAGGCGGTTTTTATTCTCCTCCGATTACTATTGTCGTACATTTTCATAGATGATCTTTCGGTAGGTAGTTGCCATGTCATCACAACCAACGAGAGGTGGTGAATAAATTAGGAAAGAAAGACCTGATATATTGTGCGCTCTGGCTTTAGTACACATGTCACTGATTTACATACTAGAGAGTCTTAAGCATATTAGACTACTGACTGCAACTGAGGCTGTGCTTTGCACTTGTCAGAAGACCCACAAAAAAGATGAAGAAATAAAGCATTTATGGGTCATTTAATCACTTGACTTGTTTGTGTACACAACAGGCCCCCACATGATTGGCTTTACCAGTGACGATGACGTCCTATCAACTAGTCACTCAACTCAAGTTCAATTGTCCAAGTGTCGAAGACCCAAGAGACAAAAAGATGAGGTCAAACCTCACCACTCTCTCAGTCCAGTGATTAGGGGTCGCCATAACGACGAAATGCCCACACAGAAACGATCATTGAAATGTCATCTTACAGATGCTAATCAAGATCAAAGTGGTGAAGATAATGAACAACACGTGTGTGGGGGGCTAGAGGCCTTTGAAAACAGTGGAGTAATGCAAACTACATCGGCAGACGTGACACCACACACTTGGTCTCATTCTGGTGTATGTTCTACTCATACCAATATTCCTTATGTACCACCGGCGTTGACACCTCTTCCAGCATTCTGTGAATGTTGTCACCTTCCAGAAGACGTAGCACATACACCCATCCTAATCGGTGCAAGTCAGCCGTCTGAATGGGGCAAACCTTCACCTAGTAAGACGAGGTTCCACTGTTCACTTTGGAGCTGTTTACCATTGAAAGTATTCAATAACCTTGTCTTGTAATTGTTCTTATTTAATTATAGTGAATGGAACACTTCCACCGACAACTCCTACAGGTGGAATTATTCCAGGTGCCTCAACGACTTCCTTGCTTCCAATGGTCTTTCCACAGGCATTATCAAATAGAAGTCTCCCCTTCTCGCCCCTGCCATGTCAGTCAGGTCTCTACGCTCCATCGCCGGGCCCCTTGACCCCCATTTTGCCCATTTCTACATATGATAGCAGTCTTCCACTTCAGAACCTCCCTATACAAAACCAAATCCTCGACTTTCAGTCTTCCCTAATCTCCAATCCTCTCTTGCCTTGTGGAAGTGTGATTCCAGCTGGGACATTGGTGGTGGATCCATCTGCTATAAATACACCTACTAGTAGCACTGCCCCTGCCACATTTGGAGGCCTTCAGTCATGTCCCACGACCAACAGTGAGACTCTGACAGAATTGAAGCAGAAATCACTAGTGAGTCAAAACAATGGACACTGTGGTAGTGCATCCGTAAACTTTCTTCCATCACTGATCCCGGGTCTGTCGACACCACCTCCGCCACCACCTTCACAGCCAGTAACCAATGTTGCTGTTGCCGCGGCCGCTGCTGCAGCTGCTGCTGCAACTGCAGGGTCATTGAATTTCAGACTACCTGTATCCCCTTCGGATTCCATCCTCAGCACCTCTCAGCTTAGCCTCAACGGACTTCCAGGTTCCACCACAGTGGCTGGTGCTACAATGGCAACGCAGTCGTTGCTGAATCCCCTTAACAGCACAGTTTCTTCGTGAACCCCAAATACTTGAACGCGCACACCTTTTCTCTTCTCGATCGTCTCGTCTCTCCCTCCCGCTGATAAACCCGCTACGCCCCCCTCCCCTTAGCTTTGACGTCTTGGTTTTGACTTGTTGTTTTAGGCCATTGGGTACTAATCACCGTTTTTGTCATCTTTCTTTTCATTTATTTTTAACTTCTGAGAAGCTAATATTGTTGCTGTTGCTGAGGCTGTTGTTGTTACTGTTATTTACTGTATGTATTCACATTCAACTGTTAACTCCACCCATTTCTCGCAATTTCTGGTGTTTTTCTTTTTCTTTTTTTTTTTTGCATTCTCTACCCCTCCTCCCTCCTGACCCCGCCCAATTCCATGTAAAGCACGTTTCTTGTTCACATGTTTCCAATGTTGGACGGTTGCCGGGTTACCACCACCATGGTAGCACATGCGTGACAATCAGATGTCGCCTTGTGGTCTTTTACAAAAAAGCAGAGAAGAAGCTTATTTCTTTGTGGATAGAAAGAGCGGGAGATACCTTGGCATTAGAGAAAGGATGTCATTGCCTCTAAAACCTCTAATCCTACCCTTTTTCCCCTCCTTGCTCTCAAAGCCCCTACACTTTATCTACCCTGTCCTTTGAGTCTCCTTTTGTCTCTGTTATAACTTAATAAATTTTTCGATACATTCTCCTTGTAAAAGAATGAGTACGAATAATATAAAAGGATTTAAGGAAGATTGAAATGAAAGTGAAGAGCCAAATGCTAAATTGGTTTAAAAAAAACAAATTAGAACACCTGGAAGCGCAATGGAATTAGATCTGACTTGGTGTGTGTGTGTGTGTGTGATAGCGGTAGCATCATGTGCCACTCTCTGGTGGCCTTAACACACTGAACAGGTTTCAAATATTTACATATGTCACGCCAAACAGGCGTGCAATCTCTCTCACCTCATAGGCTAGAGGTGAAAGGGGACACAGGACATGGGGGGAGGGCCTTTTTACAGGGCGGGTGAGAGTCCGATGGCACGATTCTGCCATTGGCATCTGTGTGTGTATGTATGAAAGTGACCTTAACGTTCTGTGTAAACAATCATCGATTGACATGTGCTGCTACCTGATGGCTATACACAACTCCTTAATCGATCGGCTGAGAGGTGGACAACACCGCTGCACCTTTCCGTTGTTATGTTGGTCAGTGTTGGTCTGACACCACGTAGCCAAACCAATTTCCAAATCGGCTTATGTTCGCTTCAAAAGTTTGTACAAATTATCTTTTTTTCTCACACATTCGTTATTTTAGCATACGTCGGTTCACAAATGTTCAAAGTTCAAGAGATCAATCGTTTGGTACGTGAGCCATGATGACTGTGTGTGCATGTGTTTGCGCATGTGCATGCAGGGAAGTGAACTTCGCGAATGTTACGAAATGTAAATCCTTTCGCCACCTTATCAAAAAGCACAAAACCGATTGAAGTTGATTCCTCCCAGTTTGGTAATAGAATGGAAAGAGGAAATGGAAAAGTCCAGTTACCACAGTTTAAGCCAACTCTTGCGTCGCACTAGCAATTTAAACGGTAATGCGATCACAAGTGATGCAACAAGGTATCTAAGGTAAATGGTGCTTAATTTTCACTGGCCCAGTGAAGTTTATCGGAGTAGCTAGTCAATTATGACTTTATAAGATAGAAAATAAAAAGAATGAATTTTGTTTATAAAGATCTGCATACCGAAACTAATTGTTTATAGGAAATAAAAGTACCAAAGTGGAATAATACAGTCTTCATAAACAAACGCAGCAGACATTAAATTCAGGCCTGCATTTTACACAAAATATGGAGAGTAATAGTACGTAATGGATATTATGGGCTTACAAACAGATCGACGGAATAAGAAAACTTCAATCATATTTTAGGATAGTGCATTACCTGTAATAAAGTTATAAGGGAAATTTAATTCGTTGTTTATTCAAATACACCCATCAGGAGGAGAAAAAATTATGAATGTCTTCCCCTGATCCAATGTACAATTTTCTCCATTGCACTGGCAAAAAAGCATTTCTAAAGCGTCCGATTCCTAGTATTTAACCTAGTTGAGAATGTTCAAAGAATTACTCGCCAATAACATTATATGATACATTAGTGTTGTTCACATGCATCGCATTAAGTGATCTTACGCCAGCTTGAAAACATGTCAGCCAAAGGGCTAAATGCCATTCTTTAGTGAGTCAGAAAAGTGACAGATAAGATGCGACTGAGAAGTGAAGACCACCTTTTGTCTTCATTTTTAACTTGAAGGAGTTTCGGCAATGAATTGGAGACTAATCAGTACAACCACGGTTTGCGCTAGTAAATCTAATCTCCAGAACCTGCAAGTCTGTCTATAAGTTGAAGTGTAGATTGCTGGTTAAGCAACATAGTACAACTCTCAAGGACGCAAGACAAATTTCAACTGCTAATTAGAAGATTGTGGGCAAAATATTCCCTCAAGTAGCATAACTGCTGAAAATTTGGAACGAAAATGAGCATTAAAACAATAATCAGAACGTGCAATAAATTCGTGCAATATAAGTAGACACTCGTTTTGAGGTTAGAAAGCACTATCTTCCGAAGAAGGCCAGATGTTGGACTCAGAATTGTTTATATTGATTGATTTAAGCAGCGCAGCTCTTGTGGATCCAGGTTTATTTAGCCTTTTCTTTGGTGTCGGTTGGTCATGCAGTCTGCTCCTATCATTCAAGGAAAAGAAAGTGCGGAGAAAACCGCTAGGTCTATATTCGTTGGAAATATTCCGTACGAGGCTACTGAGGAGAAGTTGGTGGAACTGTTCTCCAAAGTGAGTACGCTCGTTGACTCTCCACAATCAAATAGGCCGGACCCGTTGTCAGCTTTCGATTGGTCTATGACAGAGAATCTGGCAAGCCCAAAGGATATGGTTTTTGTGAATATGCTAATCCTGCTATCGCGGCGAGTGCCTTACGCAATCTGCAAAACATTGAATTTAATGGACGACCTCTGAGAATTGGTGCTGCTGCTGGTGAGCAAAATTCGGCTGAAATCGCCCTGACAAATCCATCGGTTGGTCCTCCCCTTGAAAATCCTTATGGAAATCCGGTGGACCCTGCAAAAGCCCCTGAAGCTATTAGTCGGGCCGTGGCCAGTCTCCCTCCCGAGCAGATGTACGAATTGATGAAGCAGATGAAGTTATGCATTCAGAACAATCCAAATGAGGCTAGAAATATGCTTCTTCAGAACCCTCAACTAGCTTATGCTCTTCTACAAGTAATATGCCCAAATTAACTTAAAAGTTGCCTAATAGTGTTCACTTAATAGCTTGGTTTTTCCCTTAATAGGCACAGGTGGTCATGAAAATAGTCGATCCAAAGGTTGCAATAGCTATGTTAAATCGAACACATGACCAGATTCCGCCATTGAGGCCAGAAAATGTACCGTCTGGAATGTGTAAGCTCCCTGAATCTGGAGTGGGCGGTGGCGGTGATGTGAACAAACCACCACAGCAATCGTTCTCAGCAATACCGATGAATGGAGATCAGTTCTCCAATCATCCATCAGCTTTTCCAGGCGAATTTCCACCTGAACAATTACAGCAACCCATGGGTAACTTTACTCTTTACTAAACTGCAAAGGTAGCTACTCAAATGTATAATTATTGGATACTTGAGCAACTGCCTCATCTGGTTTTCTTAGCATTATGCTAACAGATCTAATGTTTTTTCAAATCTGTTGGAAGGCAATTTGCGAATCAACCTATGGCTATTGTATCTGTCAAAGCCCCTTAAGCTGCTGGTGATAAAAACTGGACTAAAATCGACATTTTGTGCAATTTTAAATATTTTCTCCCCATGCAAGTTTTACTGGTGCGTTTTGCTGCCTAAAAATTTGATAGTTGATTGGAGTGGTGTTCATTTGATAGACAGGCTCTGATGTATGCTGCATGAGCTCTCGAGCCATTTGTTGAGAAGAAGTTGGTTTCAACAAATCTCATGCTTTATTGCTAACCTCACTTCAATAGAAGCCTCAATTCTAGAAGCGCAACAAGTGAATGTCTCAACAGTTTGGTTTTTTATTTGCCTCTGATTGTGTAACTAATACCCGGCGAAAGGACAATTATATGACGCTTGAAAAACTTCGTTAGAGGCATATGGAGGACTAACATATGCTTGGTATTTTGTCTCTCTCCCTCCTAAGTTGCTTGCTTGAGTATTTTTATTTCCTTTTAAGTACATGATGGAGATGGGGAAAGCCTTAGCATGTCTTTATTAATTTTTAAACATTGCTTTGTCGCGGACTACCCATTTGATTGGCCTCATAGCTGTCTCCAGGGGTTCTTTTCAACGATCCAACACTTCTGGGTCGTAAGCGTTGTTATCATTCATAAACACCTGGAGCCGCAGGTCTCAGTTAAACTGGAATTGCAAATGGACCAAGCTTCAATCATATCGCATTAACTATCATCGACTACGCAGTCTGACGGATCGCCCCTTCGCTTAAGTCTAAGAATCTCTTTTACGATCCGGCTTCGTTATGTCTTCACTTTAACAATGAGGGTACATTACATTTGTAAGGATGAGTTCAGACAGGGTATTTCAGCATTGACTCCTTTCTTAGTGAATTTACAGGTGGTTGTGTCGAATGGCCTTTTTCTATTTAGGTGGACCGGGGATGTATGGTGGTTTTCAGCCACCCCCACCGCAGCAGCCACAACCACATCAAGTACCGGGAGGATTTCCACATTTGCCACACCCATCCCCTAGCGGGCCATTGGGTCAGCCTTCCGCTTTTTCTGTTGGAGCTCCCCAGCCAGGAGGCCCACCCCAACCTACCACAGCTCATTCTACTTCCGGTATTTCATCTCTCGATCAGGTAATCGCTATTGTTGGTTGTGTTATCAATTTGCTTGATACCTCACCAATCCTCTGCGTCAGAATTAAGTAAATAGTACAGGAATCCATTGGGATGACGGGTCCGAATATGCCAAATGGGGTCTCTATCCATCAATCCATTTACTCACCAGTACGATTGGTTGGTAGAAATCGTGGAGTTCTATTTTCAAATTGTTTCCAGTAGTTTAAAGTAGATAGTAAAGGTGATTTTGGTAAATAGTAAGGGTCAGGAATTATGAACTCTTGCTATGCAATTGGTGTTGCTTTTCAGTTGAATCCAGCGATATCGGCAGCCCTAAAAGCGGGCAGTGGAGGCAATGTGACAGGACTGCCACAGAAGGAAGAGGAAAAGTTGGGTCTCATCATGCAGGTGCTTGCACTTTCCGAGGAGTATATTGCTCAGCTGCCAGAGGATCAACGACGCAGCATTCGCATTCTGAAGGAGCAGGTGGGCAAAAGAAGCGGTTTTTAGAGGCTCTCTTTTCTATTCTCTCCAATGCTTTTTTGTATTGCAACAGAGCCGCGTTTTATACAGTTACGGCCTTTCCTTCTTCCTCAACTTGGAGTGGCATTTAATTCATCAAATGTATTGGTAATTTACGCGATATCTTCGAACATTTTGGCGTTTCATTTTGTGCGCTTCACGAAACGCGGTGATCGTCTGGGTTGCTCTGAATGGAGTACGGCGGATGTTAATGGTGAATGCCATTGTCTTAGTTTTTGCTCACCTAGACAACGGTTTATCGAAATCCACCTTAGTGAGATCCTTTTTGTAGCGGACGGTGAGGCCTCGGTTGATAGCTCTAAGTAATCGTGGCTATGGGCAAGTTGATGCCATCATGGGAAGGGGAAGATGGAACGAGAATCTGTAGGGCAATTGCACTACCTTTAGACGAGGCATTGGGCGGTACTTGTGTTAAAGACACCGAAGTGGCAGTGTTAGCAATGGTTTCACATGTTAGTCGGCCACATCCTCTTGTTTATTTATGCGTGCTTGAAACGCAAGAAAAGAAACATGAAAACGGAATTTCCGAGAAGAAATAACTAATTATCATAAAATTGAGTAATAATTGATAATTCGTTTGATAATTCGTTTATTTGATCGCCTGTGTTGGAAAGACAGTCACTCTGGCAGAGAGTGGGCTCTGTCAAAGCGCTACCTCTACCCTTTTTCTCAGAATACAGGCATTTAGCCATGCCTTGTGTTGAATATAAGTCTCGAGATCCTACATCGGTGTCAGAAGAAACCGAATCCGTCCTTGGGTTGGCTTCCATTCCGGTTACACCGCTTTTAGGGAACTCATGTGGTGCTAATGCGGATGGGCGAGTCTAGCTTATGCACAGCACAAGGGCGGAGACCAACGCCTGCGTTTAATATCTACCCTATTGCCGTGTTCTACTGGCAAGATGTTAATAATTGAAGTAGTAATTGTAGCTCCCCGGACTTTCCAGTGGGTAAAAGAAGACGTTAATTTGAGCTAACTCGTGCCGTCTTGGACACTATGGGGGTATTGAGCCTTTCTCAGGCCCGAAGACCAGCCCATGCATACAAGAGCAAGACGCATACCAAAGCAACCAGCGAACAAATAAAAAAGTTCTACAATAACTACCTTGAAGCATGTGAACAAATTTTCATTTAAAGCGCCTATTATCATATTCGCGCAATGATGCCGGCGAGTTCATTGCACCCAACTCCCTCCGCAGGGGACTATGTTAAATCCATAAGTCAACTTGCACATCTCTTTAAGACAGGTGTGATACGTCGTTTATATTAGCTTGCTCTTGTACGCGTGAGTTGACATTTGGACCATGTTAAAGCCTAATCTCTCCGCCTTCACATCGAACACATGCATTTAGCTCCATTTAAGGTCTTCGTTCAACCTAATTGGATGTTTTAGGATTACACAATAAGTGCTACAACTTCTTGTCATGGCTGCAAATAACTGTTAACAGTAGCTCGTCTTCGAAATCTGTAGTAATTTGTTTGTTTGAACTATGAACCCTCTTGCGATAAGTTAGATAGCCTCAGGACATGCCAGATGCTCCATTCCCGAATTCTTTCCCACCACCTGTGTGGTTCTTAAATGCTAAATTTTCTCTTGTCCACAAAGACGTCCTAAGACTTCCAACCAGGTTGAAAAAGACATTAGGTATGGTTGATTGCATGCATTCTAGGAAGTAGCCGCCGGACATTGGTTGGCTACGATGGCAAGGTGTTACAGCTACAGTGTTCCGAGTAAGATATTTACAGGAAGTAAAGTTCATGACATTATTATGCAGCATGTGTAAGCATAAGATCATGTCCGTTTGTACAGTGTCTTAATATCACAAACTCGGCAACAAAACGCTAAGTGCACAACGAAATTGGTTGTTCGTTCATAGTCGCCATGTATTTTTAACGACTAAAACCCCAAATCGACCGTTCTATATTTTTGTTAATGGTCCCCACAGCACTGAAGGTATTATGTATTAGGTATTACTTTCTTTGTAAACGCCACGACTTATTAACTTTATTTGCATGCATGAAAATCTGTGTCAGCACTAATTTTGTTCTTGTTCTGTAGCAGCCTGCATGTGAAGCCCACTAGCCGTCGGGTACAGTACGGTACAATACGGTATCCTGTTGACCAGTTAATGTCATACGTTAGTTCCTTTCGACGTTTCTCGATCCTTTTAGCGTTTTAACCCCGAACAATTATCAGTTGCTAGTACTCTGTTACATTTTGGACCAAATAGTTACAATTTTTGCAGCATTTATACATATGTTGGCTGCGTTACCTGTATGTCATTTCCCTCACATATGAATAAAATTTAACGAGGGTAATCTTTTAACCGCTCCTTTTGTAGTCTCGGCGGTTTGCTTTCTTTGATAAGGTTGAACCCAATGCTGACAACGAACGTGTCTTTCAAGTAAGTTTTTTGCACGTGTGCGCACTGTGTGTAATCAAAATATTCCTTCCATTTTCGACTTCTCTAATGCATGCCTACTTATGTGGCTTATCATCTACACTCTTCTGCTTAAGGAATTCAATAAATCAAATTGTCCTTCTTTAATCTTCATTAGTCTCATCCAATTGAACATTTCCATCCTCATAAGTTTCGAGAAGGAACAGAACAAATCAAACATTGATAGCCCAGGAGTAGTTTTACTAACGCTAGGCAATGTCTCCTTTTTCTTCTCTCCTTTCCCTTAGGATCTCCCAGTGACTTGTGCCACTAGTGGTGGTGGGTACCTATGGCTGGGGGACGTGGACGGCTTCATGCATTGCTTAGACGCTACCTTTGTGTTCTCTTCCTTTCGTGCTCATAACGCCGGTCCGGTACGCCTTTGTCAGCAGGTTCCCGGTGTGGAATCTCAACTTCTTGTTACAGTTGGTGTTTCTAGTGACGATTCCATTGGCGGAACAAGGAAGGAGGAAGAGCGAGTGTGCGTTTGGAACACTAAAAAATGGTCTCTAACTTCCAAGACCTCTTTCCCAGTATGCTGTCGCAGTGTCAAAACAGCTGCTACCACGGCTGCGACTGCTTCGGCCATTTTGGATGAGGTCATTTGTCTTGAAGTCGCTTCCACCATGGATGTCATCCTTCTGGGCCATAACAGTGGCGCTGTTCAACTTATCAGAGGCGATATTACTTCAGATCGGTAAGTTTTTTTTTGAATCTATCACCTAAAGTTCGGATTTGTTAAAACTTCGAAGTCGGTATCTGCTTTCTAAACATTAGCTGAAATGCCATAAGTAGAATAAATTCCCATTGAAATGCCGACCTCAATACTGTTTGTTGTTTTCCATGAATCTGCGGTAAAAAAATTAAAAAGCCACTCAATTATTACCAAAAATTGTTCCCATCGAGACTCTTGGTTTACTTTAGTATGTCTTTCCATGGAGTATCTTGAGTGGGTTAACTTACTTTTAGCTATAATCTATCCTCTGTCTCGCCTTCCCCTCACACCTGACTATCTTCATTTTAGCTATTAGAGTTGTGAAGGTTTTAATCTCCTTAAATCGTCACTTTCTGTTCCATTTTAGTCATTAATAGCCTCAATAAGAAAGGCGAAGTGGTTAGCAGATTTAATAGCTCCTTCGTTATGACTCCGCAGTTGCAGTTTTATACAGGATATTTTCTCCTTCTTGTGTGTATGTACTTTGGTTTGCTTATCACCGTCACAATCTTGAGCCCTCCTTGACGGCTTGATGGAAATGGTGTCATTAAAAGTGTGACTAAATCCCACGGATATTGGGCAGGTCGTATATTTAGGGACCCAACTAAGATAATTATACTTCCCCCAAAAATTGCCAAAGGCCTATTGGATAGTTTTTTCGGATACATAACTATCTGAACTGAATGAAGGCGCATAACATTGTAAAGCTCAATTTTACCTACAGTTTAATGGAGCAGGATAGTATTTCAATGCTTCAACTTGCTTGGTATTTCAGAGACTAACTTTTGACGAAGTGCATCAATGTTCGTCTCATGCTCTGGTTCGGTCGACGGCATCGTTCCTACCATTACATGAATAGACACCATGCATTAGTCAGCAAAAGTACTTATTCGAGTTATTTGAGGAAGGAAGCATATATTGGCATATATCACCGATGGAAACAATCACCAGTACAGTCGGTAATATCTCGTCCAAACGTTTCATTTTTAGAAGTGAGATGCATGATCCTGATCACTCGTGTTTCTGTCTCACTTTTGTTGCCGTTTGATACCAAGCACAAGAAAAGTGTTTGTCACAACTCGGCTGTTGGAGAAATATTGTCAGCAGAATATGGAAGATAATGCATGGGTTGACATTTTTCTCCCTTTCTGTTCCTCATATTCTGAATAGAGGCCATCGTTGGGGTAACTCGAGACCGGTATTGTGTCATACTTATTCATTTAACAAACAGAAAACGGTTCTGAGAGAGGTGAAAGGCAAGTGTGCAGTAATCTTTTAGTTGGTTTCTTGATAGTCACAATTTCCCCTCCTCAGCTGATGTAAGTGTCATTGCTTCCAAAGGTTTCTGCATCCATGTTTGTAGAACATAGCATCCGAATAAGGTGATAAATCATTCCTATTAATTAAATGCCAGCAGGTTTAGCAGTTTATTTTGAGGCGGTAATTATTATTGGATCCTTACCACTAACTTCTCTACCGTCTTTTACTCTTTCCTGGACCATTATAGGGATTCTTGAACCTCACAATTTGTTAATTCGCATACTTTCCGATCTTCACAAGCAGAAACATTGGTTGTGGATGGCTGTATTTATCGCCACACATTCGTTAATGACATTGTTAAGTTGACCTGTCCACCCACACTTTTTATCAAATAGATCATGTCTTTTTTTCTCGGATGTAGGCAGTGCCGACGTTTGGTGTTGTACGAATTTACATCTCCAGTGACCGGTCTGCACTACATTCCTGCACCCCTCACATCAACTATTGGGAAACGACACAAGGGCAGACATGCCCCTGACCAGGTCATGCCAGGCTCAGACTCGGGGTCTGTTTCATCTGCCTCACCCCTAATTGCTAAACCCACACCGTCTAGCGTCTACATCTACGCAGCGTCAGAAAATAAACTCGTTGGTATCAAATTGGGAAAGAAGGATGAGCCTGTCCGAACTGTACGTTTTTAGGTCTTCAAGGGCATTTAGTTATTAATAATTTTTCCCAACAACCAAGCATTTATCTGGTCCTGAATCTTGCTCACCTATGTTGATTTTCTTCTTGCTTACCCTGGATATAAACAGACAATCTTGGACACCTTCGGTTGCCGCCGTAATTGCTCTTGTCTGGTCGCAGATCCGGAGAAACCGGGTCAGAAACTTCTCGCCATGGCACACAAGGAGGTGCGAGTTAGCTTTCTCTTCTTAAGCGTTCGTATTTGATTAATTGCCTGGTACTGGGAAAGTGAGTTGGTTGTTGGTAAGATTTGGTTTGATAGAAGTCCATGTCAATGCAGTAGGCTTGCTCATTGTGTTCTCTACAAAATACCTCTGTATAGTGTGAAATTTATTGCATACAATGATTACAATAGGTAGCCTGAGGAACTATGTTCACCTCGGTTTTAGGCTGTATACTTCTACGATCCGGATGGTAGAGGACCCTGTCTGGCTATTGCGGGTAGCAAACTAGCCATTGCCGTGTACAAGAACTACTTCGTCTCCATCAGATGCAACAAGTTAGTTCAGTTAGTTTAGTGTCGATGTCTTCCAACAGCTACGATGATGATGCGTTTTCCTTTTAAACGTAGATCAGGAGATAATCAAATTGACTTCCCAAATGCACAATCATCAGTTTCTCTCTTTGAGTACAGAAATAAATTCACTGGGGGTGAATTTGTCCTCCCTTGGGCTCACTCTATCATTACGGGTTTCGGCGGTCTCTTTGTGCTCTGTGTCGAGGAGAGCTCCAAAGTGAAGGCAAGTCGACTGATTTATTCTCACCTACTATATTTCTACTGATAAGTATTTAAGTATATGTAATTCTGCTGTAGATTGTAGAGCTTGTTGAAAAAGACACTCAATCGATGTTGGACATACTGTTTGCGAGAAAGAGCTTCAATCTTGCCCTCGAGTAGGTGGGATGTTTATGCGTGCACTGTTAGCAAACTCGAAAAGTCTGAAAGTCTTGAGTTCCATTTGCCTTTAGAATAGCTGAGTCGGATAATTACAGCGAGGAGGAACTAGCTCACATACACAGAAGATATGCAGATCATCTCTTCAAGTAAGGCTCGTCAAACCTCGACAACTTTCTTTGTAGTAAAAAGCAGTATGATCTTGCTGTGAAGGAGTACATTCAAACTATTGGAACGGTTGAGGCCTCCTATGTGGTCTTGCGGGTAACGCTCTTGCTATTGTCTTTTCTTTGAAATTTTGTTGCATCTTATTTAATCGTTATCGTTTTTCTTAGTTTTTCAAATAGTTCTTAAGAGAGTAATGCTAGAGCCATCACAGTGGGTGTAATAGCTCATGGTCCCAGATGTAGGTTTATTACTATGCCCGAATGGGGGCCATTAGTCCAGGTGGTTGGAACAATCCCACAAGGCCTAGGTAATGGTCAAATTGGGTGAAAGTGAAAAACTCACGTAGCTAAGTGCCTAATTGGTGGTCAGTTTGGTCTGTTCTATCTTCTATCCTCTGTCAAATCATTGCTGTTTAAAAATATCTGCTGGATAGAAACTGAAATCGTAAAGAAAGTTGCATCACCTCGATCTTATAAGGTAGAAGGATGAATTTGTAGAAGTAGCACGTTCTTAGTCATTTACTTCTCATATCTATTGGTTATAAAATAAAGGGTAAAGTCTCTTTCTTTTTCTTAATCCCAGTTTCTGGAAAGTGGTCTGATCACCCATTTGGTACAGTACTTGGAAGCTCTGGTGGAATCCGACAATATGGTAAATGGCCGTCTTACCAAGGATCACACAGCTCTGCTTCTTAATAGCTACGCTCGCCTTGACGACAAGGAACGAATTGAAGCTTTTCTTGATGTCAGTCTCTCAACCTGCTGCTCTCTATGTAGCATTACTTCTCATCCCTTGTCGTTATTTCTTCTAACATTACTTCTAGAGGCTCGCTACTCAACAGTCAGTGGGTTCGGAGTTCTGCTCCTGTGTCAACGTCTTGCGGCGGGCGGGTTACCCACATCAAGCTCTACGGCTTGCTCAAATCACTAACAATCACGCCGACTCCATCCGAATCTTAACAGAGGATCTAAAGGATGCTGAAGCTGCGATCAAGGAGATTACTTCCCTTCCATTCGATCAGGTGAGGCAGAATTGAATTATTTGAATTATTTTGTTTTCCACGCCTGAAACGAGGCATAACGCGTTATAGCGATTTGACCAAAGCAGGAGTTTTGAGGTTCACCTAACAGAGTAAAGGAAAAGAGGATTATTGTGATATAGACGAATATCCTTCCAGCATTTTAAAAGCATCGTAAAAGTGGATCAGGTGACCTAAGTCAGAATACTTTGCCTCTGCTTTGAAGCTAGTCTTGACCTTTGATGAGAGCCACCTTGGTACCTACCATGTGGTGATTTCTCAGAACTTTGAGTGTTTTTTATGTATGCCTTCCAAGAATCTCCGGTTGGGTAGTCCTTGTGGTAGATGCTCACAAGAAAGTATTCAGTACACCCAAATCGTCACTAATAGACATAGAACTATCCTGTTACTGGGCTGTGCTATATAAAGCCTTCTTTTCTATGAACCGTTCAGGAATCGTACACCATCTTTGACAAAAACGTTGTCTTCCATCATTCCATACTTCGTGCTGACTTCTAAGCAAGGATGTGTGGACTGGTTAAATAAATTTTCCGTTGACTCCTTGATGGTACGGCACATCTGTCAACCGTTCTGATTTTTCTCTATCTGTCAAAGTTTCGTCCATTCATTGTTATCACCCGTTACATTAATCTTCCATCTGGATCAGCCATCCAACCAGTTTTTTGATAGCTTCGGGTCTTGTTTATGTACGCGAAGGTAGATTCTGTCAAGTCTTACCTATTCAGGTATTCCTAAGATAGGCTTCAACACGTCGTCATTTTGAGGGCGAGTAAACGTCGGGTATGACGAGTGTGAGCTCGAATGCTGCATTGTGCTAGATACTTTCGAAATCACCTCCAAATTAGGTGCGCAAGCCGTATTTTTCGCCTTTCATCAGGAGGGGATGGCAGTCTGTTAACTTTCCAAATGTTCTACATTTCCTTCATAACGAATGTAATTTGGTATGTCTGGAAGCTGAGCCATTTAGATAGACCCTATGAGGCTATTTATTTTGTTTCTTTTTTGTTCTGTTCACTTCGTTCTGAGTTCTAATGAATTGCTAGACATATATATAGTGTTGCTTCTTTGCGCAACTCCTAAGTCTAAATTGGCAATAAGGCCTTTTGTCCGACTTCAAGACTCATACATTTTAGTGCATCGATTTTATACGTTTTTATTTTCTAGGCTCTCGAAGCTGTGTGTACCTATGGTGCTTTTTTGATCGAAACTGCTCCATCTGCGACAGCAGAACTCTTGGATGGACTCTGTTCGAACCCTGGTAAGTTGGCTTTTTGTGTCGGGGTTCTTAAAATCCTGTCCTTGTGATGTATTCCGTTTCTTTCCTTTTTTTATCCATCACAGCGGGTGGGCGCATAAGCGCTTCACAGTTTATCAAAATATTCGTTAACAACCGCCTCGGACTGATGAAATTTCTCGAGCGTTACATTGAGGTAAGGGGAAGACGAAATGGAGGGGAGTGGATCCTTTTATAGGCTTTTGCAGCTTGCATTTCCTAGGATTCCATGAGATTGACCTGTTTTGCTTAATAGTTACCAGTCCCATCTTGAGCCCTTTACTGACTGAGAGGTATTAGTGTATCGACAAATCGAGAAAACAAATGTCGAGCAAATGGACACTATCGCCGTGATGTCATCCTGATTTTGGACAATGAAAGCTAGATAATCGTATGGATGGCGAAAATGCCATGACAACATGCTTTCCATGGTCTCCTTTAGCATAACTTCAGGGCGCCTCCACTGATCATTCTTTGATGTGCATTCAGCTGTCTCATTTTAAGTTTTCCTATAGGTTATATTATGTATCAAAGTCTATAATGCAGGTGAAGCTGCAGGTGTTATTTGCGTTGAGAAGTTTTAATGCCTTGTCTCCCAAGGTGAGCCAAGGAGTCACATCAAATGATGATGTTATATGGTTATTTATTCCTACGTCAGCACTATTTAATCGTTTATCTTACATATTTTCATCTTTATCAAATGTCGTTGGTGAGGTCCAGTGTTACTTCACTTCGCTTCACAGATTCATAGTATATCCTCGATGGCATTTGGACGGGTCATTTTCCTGTGATCTCAGTAATCTGGGAAGGGAAGGAACCCGAGCTATGGACTGCTATAGTGATTGGTGGCATTCGGAGACCATGCAGACTTAACAGTAATTAACATTAATTAACTAAACTATTCCTTTCTTTTAGAAAAGTACATCTACCGATGCCTGTTTGACGGATGTGGTTGAGACTTTGCTGGAATTACTTCTTTACGAAATCAACGAGGTTGTTGCTGATGCAAGCATTAAAGACAAAGACACCCAGTTAGCCCATCTTCGTGGTCTTATTATGCGTCTTCTTGAAGATCCTAGGGTAGTCCATTTTCCACCATGCCAAATTCGTGAAAGTTAATGTGGACGCATTACTCACGCCGTGGATACAGTACTACCTATTTTTGTTGTCTCTCCATATTTTTAACCTATTCTGGTATCATCAAGCAGTACTTGATCGTTGCCAGAGGATTGGGTGGTAGCAAAGCTTGCTACTCAATGGATGACCTACCGATAGGCATAACATGTTGATGTAGGTCCCTGGGGAAGGATGCTACTAATAAACTTAAGTAGCACCTTTATGCGTCACGCCAGGCAGTTCACGCCTACCTCAAATGAGTCGGAAAATCCACTGAGCATGCATCATTCAACCTACGCTAGTAGATTTTAATAAGCTATATTTAAGCTTATTTCCTGACTAACTGATTTGTAGTGAGAATCAGCTCTTGTTTTTGAATGTTAGCCGAGGTTTTCGCAAAGTAAACAATTGTTCATTTTGTAAAATGGGTTGTACCTCTTGTATTTGTGATTGACGATTTGTGGATTTTTTTAGTTGGTGTTTCCATCTGAGACATTTGGAGTGTGTGTGAGAAAACCAGTTCCTATAGTAATAGATCAGAATCGACATTCGAATTCATCCTCTCTTCGATTTCAAAACGTCCTTTTAGGATGGAAATGAGGGAGATAGAGGTATTGCTTCGTGACCTCTTTTATCCGGAGTGAATATTGCTTATTTGCGTCATCGACATTTGACAATTGGACGTTAGCTTAGAAAATACATGGATGATAGAAGCGGAAGCAGCTACGAAAATTCTCCCCTTTCTTAATTGTGCCCTGTTCAGAGCAAGTGCATTAATTCGTCCATCCTTAAGAGCACATTCTCTTGTTTGTTTATTAATAAGCTCTTCTGTTTGTCTCCATCACCTTCAGGAGTTAGTCTGGAATGAATGTCAGGCCGATTTTGCTTTCGTATAACCTAATGGTAGGAGTCACTTTTGAGTCAGTTCGTTTTTGTTCTCCTCTCACATCTCTTCTGCTTATCTCACTAATGTGGGAACGCGTTTGCTATTATTCCCTTCATTTTGTTTGATTACCTCTGCCTTCCTTCTTGCCCATGATCAGAACTACTGATCTTTATCCCTCTTGTAAAAACAGGAAACGTGGGTTTATTTACACAGAAGGAGTCCATTCACCCACCGCTGTCGCCATTTTCACCGCCATTAATTCGCACTATAAGAAAGCGTCAGGCATGTTCCGCATAAAATGCACCTTTTGATGGTATTGTTAACCTGAAGCGTTTTAAATGTCCGTCATTTTGAAAACCTTCAGTTTTAATAGCATGTGTATTTGGGAAAGATGGTATCACCTTTCGTATGCCCACTTAACTAGAACGTGAGTATTGAATGGCTTCCCGTGGATACTCCTTTTACTCTTTTATGAGCTCCATTTTACTGCTTGAGACAGGGCGACGTTTAATACCGGCTCTTAATTGAGAAATCACCTTTTTTTGGTACTCCGTTCCGTGTTCTTAGTAACTTTAGTTCTGGGATGCAGGAACAATATTGTTTTTTCTTGCAACAATTTTTATCTAAAGCTACCATATTTGATTGAACTTGAGGTCGCAGTAGCTGATGAAAATGAATCTCAGGGCATTCTTCTGATGGGATTGGGTGCTATTTGGTTATTATTATGTGATGATTAACCTTAGTAATCTTCAACCAACGGCTTTAGGATTGTTGTTTATTTAGAATGGATTTACTTCCCAACGAACACCACATCCACGTCGTTTATAGCCCATTTACCAGAGGGCTATTAAAAATGACTTTCACAGAACGCTGCGGTGACCGGAATCCCGGGAGATGCAGCACCCACGCGTTTCCTGTGCCTAAAGAAATGCGTATTTCTGGTACTATCTTTCTAGGCGAAAGGGTTTTTGTTTCTTCTAGTCAAGTCTTGTCATAAGTGTTATTACTTAGGAGGCAAAATTTTACACCTCTTTCCACTGTTTGCATTCCTAAACTTCTTGAGTGCCTTTTGAATAAATATGACACATCCTAATTGAGAGACATCACGCTTTGTTCCCTTATCGTTTTCTTTTGGTGAACAAATTAAATCTCACAGGCTAAAATTCTTTCTCCCCACGAGATCTGTCATCTTGTCACTCACTTATGAGCACCACATTTACGCTATTCTTTTGTTCCCTCCTCTATTCAGGCTACTTACGATGAGGGCAAAGCACTTATTTTGTGCAAACAGAGGAACTTCCTTCCTGGTTGCCTGTACATTTGGATGAAGAGCAAACAGTAGGTAGTATTGCTCCTTCCCCTACCAGTTTCAAAACCATTTACAAAGCACTCAGAAACAAAAACTTTAATTAGGTTGCCTTGAGAATGACTTGCAAAAAGAGGCATCATATGAACTATTGCCTCAGAATGGATGCCTTAGATTTGCGCGCCAGTTCCTCTGCAAGTCCAGTTATTCTAGCCGCGTAGATATTGAGGCAGGTAGTTTTTCCCGTGAAGTGGATTGCATAGTGGAGATTTCTAGCACTGATTTGGCTGGCCCCTCATAATAGAGCCAAGTTCCCTTTTCGAGCGGCTAATCGACCCTGGAGCCCTACTTAGCCATAGGATTACAGACGTAACTAAAAACGTGTGGCAAGGTATCCGTGCGGAGCTCGCATAGAACCTCAATAACTGAAAATCTGGTATATCTAATGTCTTAGATACCTTATTTATTATCTGTTTTAGGTACGATCAGATCATGGAGCATTACATCTTGGAGGACAACTTTGAGGCCATTTTGAAGGCTTGTGAGGAATATGGGTGAGTGCTAATAAAATAAAATAAATAAAATAAAATTGCTACCTTTCCATCGACCTATCTGATCATTTTAGAGACGAAGTGCCCTCTCTCTGGTTTGAGGCCTTTAAGTATGCTGCGGATAAGCCCAAACTTGGTGAACATCTACCACGGCTCCTATCGGGTGGGTGTTGTCCTCTCGTTTTGAATCCTGTTTATTCTACTCGGTCTACGTAAATGATCACTACTGCGTTTACACTTCCATAGTTTGACGGTATGAGTTGCACTAGTTGCAGAGTTTAAGGTGAGCTTCTTAACCTCCCTAAAGCTCACCTTTAACCAGCCTTTTTGAAGGCCATTGGCTATAGTATATTATTGTCATTATCATTGAAAAGTTGTAAGAAGGTTTAGTCAATTCCCTGATCTACTTGGATTCTCTTATCCTTCTCAACTGGATATGTGATTATCATCAAAGAGGTGCTAACCGCTTGGAGCGGTATGAATGATCGGATTGTGAGGAACAAAGAGGTATTTTTCTCTCCCTCATTCCTATTCCCATTCTAAAATGTGGCTGTTTTTGTTGAAAAGAACTTTGATCCTATTGGTGGATAGGTCTCATTCCCAACTATTTGACCTGCAATTAAACACTTCTCTGTGAACAATGCCATCTACCAAAGAAACGTTGAGATCACCAATGATGCGTTGACTTGCTTAGAGGACAGGGTATTTATTGTCACAAATTAACCATCGTACTGCAGCAGAATGGCGATGAAAGTGGTGAAAAATCGGTTAACATTTGAGGCATATGGGTGGCATTCATTTGTTTAATTACTTAGGTATGGAGTTACTCCCTGACGGCATCTAGATACGCCCTTTTACTACCTCTTTTCCAAATGCCTCGTTTTTGTGTTCCAATTTGCAAAGGTATCTGCCTTAAATCACCCTCGGTTTCAGTGAATCATTATACAGATGTACAAACAGGTAGCCGTACCAAAACTACCACCACTAATCTTGGCCAAACTTCCTCCTTCAATTAGGCGGTGTGATGATTGGCTCAGCTTAAATTTCTTTTGTGTGGAGAATAAAGAAAGTGCTTTTTAATACTTTGATGTTTTCCAATGGTCAGTCATACTGCTGACACGCTGTTGACCACTTAGCTGGCTGTCTCTCCAGGTGTCATTTGGTCATTATTGAAGTCAAATAGTTTGAGGGGTGGGTAAGGGATTCAAAACTTCTTTTTCTTCCCTTTTATTTAACTGAGGTCGAATTTGGGAAACGTAAAAGTTAGATTGGCTTGGTGTTGTTGTTGGCAGTCTCTGAGAGTCAGTAGTGTCAATGGACCAATATAGCCATTGCTTACCATTCATTACCTCTACCTTGTTCTTGTACCACTACTGGCCTCTTATTTCCAGGCACTTAAAGTCTTGACGTCAAGGCTTTGCCTGATCCCAATTAGTCTTTGATTTAGCACCTCTTTCTATCACATACAGGTGAGCGTCATGCAGGAAGTGAGGGGCTCTTCTTACCCTCCAGGAATCGTAAAATGAAGTCACTCCAAGAAGCTGTAGGCGAGAAATTACTGATTACTTTCTGGAGAGTTTAGAGGATACAAGATCAACTTCCTTAAAAAAGCACCTTTTCCTTAATGCATTAGCGTTTTACGTAGAAAATATATGCAATAATTTCTGTTTCGTTGTGCTTTCTAATATGAAAGTAACTTAGCCTCAACGTCATTTGCGTTCTATTAATGCATTGCCTCAAGAAGGGCGGATTGGGTTTAGTCAACAACTTTGGAAGCTTACGTATTTCATCTGCTGTCTCTCATTTTCTACATTTTTGCAGAAATTGAGTCTCGTAATTTGGTATCCCCATTGGTCGTTCTCCAACTCCTAGCTTTGCCAGATGCTGAAAAGTGCCACACCCTTGGTACAGTCAAGGTAACACTTATTTTTTTGTTTTAATTTTGAAATACTTTACCACCCAAGCAACTAATATAAGGACCATCTGTTCAGTTGTACTACGCCTTTTTTTTTCATTGCAGACAGTTGCACCTTCTCGTAATTCATCCATACGAGTAAAGGGTTGTCCACTCCAAACCGAAACTTCCAACTTTCCTATTCTCTGGGATCAAATATAATTAAGGTTTTATTCACACCCATTTATCGATCAGCTTCAAGGTTGACAGATTTGTCAGTAGGACTGGGTCATTCAAAAGATGTCAGGAGTTCTTTCTTGCTCTCTAGTGTGGGCTAATTTACCTTGGAGTCATTGCTGTGTTCACCGTTGTCCTTCCCCAAAGAATGTTCATCAAATGCCAAAGCTTAGCCAAGCGTTTCATAGCTTAACTTGCTGCGCATGGAATTAGCTGGTCCCAAAAATTGTTGTTGTTGTTGTTGTTGTAGTTTGAACCACATAGTTGTGCTCCTTTTTATAGAGTAAATCTCTCTCCCATTAATAAATGTTTGAGTAGGTGTGGGGCTAATTTTCTCCCCAAATTGATGCGTATAGCATTACGATAGTCACATGTAAGGAAGTCTTTGTCTAATCCATCGGTTCTAGTACACTTAAGCGAGTTTTTAGACTTGCTAGTTTGTAATTTATAAAATCCATTAGACTTCCGAAACTTCTTTCGCAAAGAGATCGTTATTATTGCACCGGAATTACTCCCCCTTATTATCTTTTTCAAAAAAATTGTGCTCGTTCGTATTGCCTGATCCAGAAGCAGTTTGTAGGCAATGCTTGGAAGCGTTTATTACATCTTCCTCGATCACATTGATTTGTGATGTGGCGAAGATTATGTGCTCATGGCCTTTTTCCTTCTCTTTCCTCCTCAAAGATTGTAAAAACTAGTCATTCTGCTTATTGCTTCGATGATCTTAGCTGTAAAAAGTGGTTGGCTTTTGGGTCTGCGGATCTCCTTCCGTATTTATGTGTAAAAAAATGACACTTATGCTGTTTTGCCAAGGAAGGATTAGCAGTTATTTGTGGAACTCGAGATTATTCCATCTACTCTTAACACTGAGGTCGCCTGAAAGGATCATTGGGCTTCGAAAGCTGGTGTCGCCATCTAGGCCCTCACTGAGATACCTGAAAGGAAGGAAAGGGGACCCACTGTTGGTGATGTCAGGATAGTTGAACTTAAACTTATTACTACTTTATTTTTTTCTTTTCGGAAGGCTTACTTTCTGCACTACCTTGAATCAGGTAAGGAGAAGGTGGAAGCAAATGAGGCAAAAATGCAACGTTTGCGAGAGGAGACGTTACGGAATCGTGAAATTGCTCGACAAAGCAAAACCAGGTAAGTGATTTTCTCCAAAATAATGACACCAGCCGTTCATTGCAACATTCCTTTTGATGACATTGCATCTGTCAGATACCTTCAAAAGGCATTGTATAGTAATTAATTTTCTTCAACCAATATTCATAACTACCGTTCCTTGAGTTGAGCACTTTGAAGCATTCAATTCATGTGTCCGAAACGATCGTGCCATAGATTCAACTCATATCTCGGTAAGGGTTGATGTTGTCGATGGTTTACCTCGACGATGTTCATTGATCCTTGTCAAGTCTGTACTTAGAACAAAAAATAGGTTGACGAATTATGGCAGCATTTCTTCCACTCCAAAGGTGTGCATAAAGCCACAACAATAAGTGTTTCCGTCTTACTCCCTTTTTTCAAACCAATGGAAACCCGAAAGGGCTATCAGCTCCGTGCTCTATAAGGATATGTTACTGAAACGCTTCTCCGGAAGTAGATATGGCCTTGATAGCGTGTATCCCTCAGCAGTCAGTGCACTTCCCTTCCATAACACTTAGTTTTTGGCACCCAGATTTTTTTGATGTGGTGATGAAAACGCAGGAAAATTGAAGTGGTTGCATCACTCAATGTATGGTCGAAAAACTTTTGACACTGATTGTTGTTAATCGCTGTACACGAGTTATTGGACGCTGGCATGAGGCAAGAAACTTAGAGGAGTGTTGTCATCAACCATAGAAACGGCTATATGCTTCTTTCAAGTGTAGTCTTGTCCTGAGTTGACATTGACAAATATGGTAAAGAACAATCGACACTGCTTGACAAGTATGAATGAGACAAGCCTTTACTTGGCCCTCAGTATAGCTGTCATTGGCATCAATTAGTGGGTATGTTCGTTATCCTTTGTGGGAACGCATAACTTATACTGATGTTCCCACTACCAACATCTCCTTGACGTTTTTTTTGGAGTGCAAGGATAGGATAGAGAGACAGGAAAATTGTGTTAGGTCATTTTTTCCCCACCTACAAACGTGACGTTCACCTACACCATGTGGAATGAAATCACTTTTGAAGTCGTAGAAGGCACATTTTTTTTGCATAATTTGCTACCTACAGAATAATTATAGCAGGTAATAACTTGTCAGTAGAGCTGGTCTATTTCACTGGAAGTCTATGAAGACTTAGAATCGTTGATTCGCACCTATGTTATATCGTTTGCATAGCTTCTACACCATATGTGAGGTCTATCAGACCCTGTAATAGGACCCACACCTCATTCTGGCCTTTTTTCCTTTTTTCTCAAAGATTACTCGAAAAAAAAACTAGTAGGAACTTTTTCAGTCTTATTTTTTCTTCTCTTTGTCAGAGTGAAAATTTTTCAACAACAGAAGTGTGCTGTTTGCAATCAGGCGTTGGAACCGCCATCAATTCACTTCCTCTGTGACCATTCATATCATAAGTCGTGAGTGCATTCATTTCCTTCTGTGTTATGCTCAAAATGTCACTGGCCAGGCTGTTGGAAAGGATCTGTTCTAGAAGCTTTATGTCAATTGTCCTAGGCTGTATTGCTATTAGGCTTGTGTCAGGATAAATCAAAAGGGGAACTGAAGTACTCTAGTACGAAATTAATTCTACATCCACTTCTTGTTTTGGATGTGGTTCTTGAGAGAGAGGCATGGCATTAGTACAGTAGGCAATGCTAATAAAGTTAGAATTTCTGAGTATCGTCAAGTGAGTGAATTTATTCCCTGTCTAATCGACTGATTGAGGCATCGTTTATCGAAAAGGTCATGCGAGTTACTGGGTAGTGAAGATGTCTACAACCCCAAAAGGAATTTCTATTTTGGTTTTCTTGCAGTTTTCGAGGTGCTTTAGGGCGGCTGACGGGGCAAATGTACCATGGATACCTTGTGCCTTCGGCAGTTTCATAGTTTCATTTTCCAGCCAACGGTAACGCTTGCTGCACTGGTGCCTTTGTCGTTTTATTCATCTGAGTGGATCCATACTCCAGCGTATTAAGCTCTCCATATATGACGTCCTCATTCCACTAACTGGAGTCACTGAGCCACAACTAGTCCAGGGGTGTTTCATTACCTTATCAAAGACCTCGAAAACCTCTTGGCACCATCATGGCATCATGATACCGATGTGACAGCAAAATTATGAGGATTCAAGTGGTCACGTAGTTAAATGCCAACCTAAAACTACTTTCATAATATATTTCTGTACTACCTAAATACCAAATATGACACTTTTATTTCCCATCGCCTTTCAAAGTAGTAAAATTCCCAATTTATGTAAACCTGTCATCCAGCCCTTCTGACATTATTAGCCAATATGGACTTCCAATTTACCGATGTTAATTAAGGCTTTTTTTGCTTTTTTAGGTGTTTCGATACCTATTCTTCCGACGATCAACTTTGTCCGGAATGCGCGCCTCTTATTAGGTGAGTTGGAACAACTTCCCTAGGTAGCCAAGCTTCCTTCTACAGAGGAGCACGGAGGAGTGCCTTGCTGTCATTTGTTAGGGCCTGCACGATCCCGAAAAGTGTTGGCATGCTCCGATAGTCAATTAATGAAGTGTTTTTCTATTGTTAATTTATACTTGTTTGGAGCACAGGATTTTCATTAACCTCATTGAACTGATTTAAAGGCCAGAACCACCTTCAAGGTCATCAGAGCCTAAAATTGTTTGTTGAAGTAGTCGTAAGCGTGCTAAGTAAATACTTTATGTGCTTTTCGTTCTCTCACCGGAATTCGAAGCAGACAATGTAAATGTAGTTATGCCTTGAAAACGCCATGGCCAGCATCATTATCATTAATCTTTTTATTATCTTGAAAAATTCACCCGTCTTTGACAATTACTCTCGTTATCTAGTCTTTTAGAGTATTGTGATCTGGAAAAGGGCTCATACTATTGCCTACTTTTATCACCAAGTTTAGCGCACGTGGGAGGCTCACACAAAGGCAACAAATCTAGCAGGATCCAAGAGCTCCATCAATTAGACCCCCTATTGTAAGAAATAGCACTCCTTGATGCAGCCAATAAGGACTTTGACTATGGTCTAATTTTTCTCGATCAGTGGACTTGATGTAGCTTACTTGAGGGTAGATGGGAGATTGGCAACAAAGGGACCAGTAATTCGACACTCCCATTCCCTCCAACACCTGTACTGAGGTCGGCCAATACAAGAAGAGCCTGCATCTTTCGGTGTTGGTTGGACGTACCAACCACAAACGCTAACGCTGCATCTAACTACATTTCACACTAAGTGGATACCCCTTAACCCCTAATGATCTTCGCGTTTTTTTTAATTTGTCATTAATTCATGCTTCTCGAGAAGGTGTTAGAGCTAATATGGAGCGGTCATTTTTTTCATTCCCTACACAGCTTAAATGGGTTTGTAATGCATTCATCCAGTTGATACCTTTGTCTTTAACAAAAAAAAAACATTGGACGCAGTATTCGAATGTATCACTTGTATCACCTTTGCTCTTTGTGATTAAATCAATGCAAATTCTGGAATCTGTTTGTGTTGGCGCCAAACCCTATCGCGAGCTAGGGTAAAGGGAGGTCTGTGACGTACGCCCACGGTCTGTGTCAACTGCCTGGTGCGCTGCTTCCCAGGTGTACTATTGGATCTGATCATTGCTAATGTTTCCTACTTGGTGTTGGTCAGTGCCGAGAGCTCAACAAAAGTGTGAATGAGGAATTCCTCGAAGTAGTTAAGTTACTCCAATTATAGCAAGGATCTACTAGGACATAACTTGATTTCATTGCCATTGATTTCAGTAAAATGTCACGTTGTATTGTGGGGATTCTCTTGTTCCGTCGTTCATGGTTGTGTCATTTTGTGTGATGCAAACGTGTTTTTTTCTATGTCTGGTGTCAGATTTTCCTCTCTGTCACTTTGTTTGACTCCCTTATGAGGTATTGGATTGGTTTTACTCTTCCATAAAGTCACAATAATTGGTTATTGAAAATCGATTTATTTTTATAATCATTTGCCTATGCGGCAATGGATATTTGTCTTGTCGTTCTGTGCCAGGATTCGCCAGTTAGTGTCGCTAATCCACCACTATCCATTTCCGGTGCTTGACGAAGCCACGGAAATGGCGGTAAAATTAGGCAAGAGTGGAGTCTCTATCTTGTGACAAAAACAAATCTAACCATTCAACTAGTGTTTTTGCTTGTCTCCAAAGTCTGGTTACTTTCCATTTTCGCTAGCCAAATTTTTCCTCTGCTATTATTGAGCATTATGATTTTAAAATTTGGTTAGTTCTTTGTTAAAAGACGAGTGTTTGTAGGAATTCCTCCTGTCCTTTCCAGCTAAACCCAAAACATTGCATTTGTCAGAACTCTTAACTAAAGCAAAAGATGAGATGAAAAAAAGTTGTCCAATTTTGACTTCATGGGCTTTATGGCAAATTTTGTATCCCCGTCTACTGATGATGCCTACCAAAACCCGTACATTTACAATAAAATTGATTTAATGTCCCTCTCTGTGTTTTCGTCTGTCCAAATGAGCCTGGAAAACATCCGGCCTCTTTGTCTGGCCTTTAGATACTTCCCACCTTCCCGCCCTCTCATCCTCCCTCTCACATCGTTCTCACTTGCCATTTCCTACTGACTCGCAGACCTGTACGTAGATTGAGTGTGTTAGTACACTGGTCCCTCGTGCTTGTGCGTGTGTGCGTTTGTCAGGTGTTACTGAGATTGCCCTACCGTTCTTCTATTTGGTAACCAGAGAGGAATGTCAGGCAGCCATTCACCCTTAAATGATTAGGTGCTTTACTGGCACCTCAGATCTCTCTTGAGGTGGAGAAATGGCGGTGATCTCGAAACCTCCCTCAAGAGGAGGCATAGAATGCATTGCTACAACAATCATCTGTTTTGGTGAGTAGGAAAGCGGATAGTATGGACTTATTCTAGTCCACTTGTAATCTATTTGAAGGCAATCTCTTCCCTCCATTAGTGATAATTCACCAATATTCGTGATTGTCCCCTTCCATTCGCAAGTTCCCAACCATCTACGTTGGCTTCAACTTGTCGTTTGAAGTCGTTCTTATGGGACAATTTTGAGGGGAGACTGGCAAACTCAAACATCCGTGAGGTCATTTTTTTGTCGTTAAACGGTGCTTTATTTTTAATCTAACATACTTGTCGAGACAAGATAGCTACTATGGGATGGCTTCTAAATTCCGAGGTACCTGTCGATTCGTCTGTCTGAGTGGTCAAGTTCAGTGAACATTGTCTCCTCCATCGGAATGTGAACAAATTGGTGTCTGGACTGACACCTCCCTAGGTGTTTCCCACTATTTCTTTCTCCTACCTTTGATGTTGTGGTTATTTTTCCTGCTTCTGACACAAAGCGCTTGAATGCATCATATACCACCCTTTAAGTCACACCACAGTCCATGGGACGGCAACAATCGCATCAATCTGGGTGGCTTTATCCATTCATGGCTTCTTGATAAGCTTTTGTTCGTGAGATTGAGTGTCATCTTGTTTGTCATTTGCTATCTTCATATGCCGATCACTACAAAGTATGAACGTCATTTCTTTATTCCTAGTGTCGATCACAGTTTCTTGAAACGTCTGAAAATATCTAGAAAACACATGTATGTTATTAATGTTTTGCTTCACAATGAAGTAATTCGAAGATGTGAGTGCCTTCTTTAAATCCTCTGTTATGGTACCTTTTTGTCGATGCTTTCAGTGGCACTAGCTTTCCACAAGATTAGAAGTAGGATTTTTGAAAGTCCAACAGGCTACCCAACAGCTCTGAGAGTAAAAGGATAAAGGAGACAAGGTGAGAAGTGAGCCTAACGGATTTTTTAGGAGTTGAAGTGTTTTTTTTTGCTTTCTTAGAATGGGAGACCTTGAGAAGCATAACCAATTCCAAGACAGAGCAGACAATAGTTTTGTTTATTTTTTTCCATTCCTTTACACTTGCTTCTTGAAAAATAAACATTTCTTAGATGTGAATATGCAAGCACTTTAAACTGGGGTAGGGTTAAATTCAGAATTTGACGTGTTTCCTTTCGCTTCATTTTTACCGCTTAAGAGGGGGCGGAGGGTAGGCGGAAGAGAGGGGCCAAAACCCAATTCAATGAGAGTGTAGAGCTTGTATTTACCCTCATGCTATTGGTCTGACTGTGGAGAGTCGGTTTGGTGTTGATGCTCTAAAAAGTCCATAAAACGGTCTATTTATCATACTCCAACTAAGGAGGCTTAAAACATCTACACAAAATGTAAGTTTTTTTCCTTGCTTTAAAGTTAACTGGGATGGAAGGCACTGATCGGTCCAGATGGCCTGTAGAGGTCGTTTAATTTGAAGATCGGTTATTTTTACCTTTTACACATAACAAATGGATGGGTTTTAACCCATTGGAAAAAGGAAGTTAGTAGGATTTGTGTGATCCATTCTTTCAAGGAAGTGTGTGACCTCGTAACTCATCCCGTCAGGATCCTCCTAGAAAGCATTATAGCCCATGTTAGGATCAGAGGACTCCGTGGTACTGCACAGTCAGGAGGTGGAGATCAGACAAACATTTCTCTCATTTATCACCTCAAATGCTTGAAGGCATGGATAAATTTTACAATGTAATTCCCTCTCCATCTTCTCGGCTTTCGATGCATTCCAAGAGCTTGCAGAAGCTGGTTCATTTGTATTTTAAATTATTGTAGACGAGGCTTGTTGGAAAGCGGTAAAACAACTCAATCACCTTTGGGTTCAGCGGACCTTTTGGCGGAGTTAGAAATATCACTCAGTTTAGAGAATGCGGATCTCTCAACCACACTTAGCAAAGCAATTGCCAAAGGCATAGCTTCTGAATCGTCTACTAGTGGTGTCGCCACACTTGCCTCACATCCACCGAAGCCACTTCCATCCAGTCCCGCCCTGCCAAGAATACCTTCCGTTACTCCATCCAAGTAAGGCTTTAATCTCACTAACGTTCTCCTATACTTTGAGATGGACATGCGGGTCACTCAACCATTTGTGGGGTCAGCATCCCACCTCCTACGTCGTCTTCATCTGATTTGTTTGAATGTGATAAGTTTACCTCTACACCACCAATACTGACAGCTACCTTCATCATTGGTGAATGATAGGCCTAGGGGGTGTCAATTGCTTCTTCTAAAGCCGCTCCTGAACTTGATACTAGGATTGTGGTGTGTATGGCGTACAAAACAAGCGTTTAGTCTGCAAGTAAGAAGGATATATTGTGCTTTTCGCTTTTACGCCCTGAGCAGCAATTCGTTCGGAGGGGTTTTATGTTATCAATCAGGCATGTCAGTTGATCGTCCGATTGGGATTGGTGGACAATGAGTTATAAAAAGTAAGCTCACTCCTTGTCATTTGTACCACCTCGAAATGCGCTTCATTTGGATCTAGGGTCGAGTGACAAGTGGGAAGGGAAGTGGGAAGATTCTGTTTATCCTGGTTTCATGTGCTTAACTAGATGGCTTAATGCATCCGATTCACGGACGCCGGTGTTTTCTACTTGAGTTAGGACTTTGCTGTCTTTGAGGGCAAAGTGCTACGTGGTTATTAAGCTGTCGACTCATTGTTGGCCCGTTAGTAGGACTTCTTAACGATTTAAATAGGAGATCTGTCTGCCATGTGCTATAGGTTCGAGTACGTGCTAGTCTCTGCAGTCGGGTGTTGATTAGGGTGCTGAGTGGACCTAGACGCATCAGCAGTGTAAGAAGCTCCTGCTTCGAGATAAATCATTCACCTCAACACAACTTCCTATCCTCAAAAAAAGGATATGCTTCCGCACAGTAACATATTGTAGTACTACTCGGAAGCATTTCATACTATGCTGCTACTAGTAGTATCTCAAGACTAGTGGGAGGTGGTATACTCCTGTCATCGTGGTTGTTTTGTTCGTTTTTCAGAACTCCATTTGATGACTTGCTGACAAAAAAAACTGTGGCTGCGTTGGGGGATTCAGGTCGCGGTGAAAGTTTGTCCAGTGGATTGAAGCAGCCATCAACATCATCCTCTGCCCCTGTCCTTGATTCTGGTGTTGTTTTGCCAACTAAGAAGGTCTCAAAAGTTGCCTCAAATCCTTTCGGCGAGGACAATGATGACGAGGAAGCGGAGGGTGTAGGAGAGAAAGGCGTAGCAAAATTGACAAACGCACCTGTGGTTGCGTACCCACATCACCTTAATCCTTTCTGATCTCTTACCACCTGTCAAATCATGCATAATCTACTATGAGCATATTTCCTTCTGTCATTCCTGATACCATGATTTTTGCAACAGACATTCTACAAAGGTGATAAAAAGCTGACAGGAAGGTTATTGGCATTGCTCTGCTCTGAGAATTAAATGCATCTTTTAGGGAAGGTGACGACGAGGTCTCTTGAATACTGCTGTCGCTCGGTAGAGACTGAAAAGTTACATCAATGTCCTTAAATTTAATCCGCTTTGTTTTTCGTTTTTTGGTGATCTCCTTGTTACTTGTCATCTGTATCATTTGGAAGGCTAAAGTTGTGTCCATTGACCGGTGAGAGGGAACTTTGGGGCTTGCCTCTGCGCAGCTGAAACACCTATCACCAACTTTATTTTACTTCTGGCGATAGTACAGCATTTACTTCACCGATTCATTCTTATTGCATGACAAGAGATGACGACTTCAAGGCTTTGAAATTCGGTAGAAGATTATGAAAATATAAAAAGAACCATCGTCACGGTCGTAAATCTCTGAAAGTCGATGATGGAATGCATGTCAAATGTAGGCCACTAAGGAAATCGAATGAGTGTTGGTACGTCCTGATGGCTTTTTGAAGTGATGAAATCATGGGTGTTTAACTTCTCCTATCGCCTATCACACTGTCACCTGCCCTCTCAGTGGTGGTGACAAGCATCGTCCATCATCATTCCAACCAATCACTTAACTCACACCTCTCACACAGAATGTGAGGGATGATGCCAATTACTCGAGAGGTGTTCTTATTCTCCAAACCTTAATAGAAAGCATTTTATAATTCTGAATGGAATGCAAAGCTTTTATTGGATGCAAAAGTACAAGTTATTAGAAAGTGACAAGCGAGTGACACTTTTGATTGGTCTAGGTTCACATGGGGGTGAAATTTACCCACCTCAGTGCACAAAACCAAGTGTTTCAGAGGGAATAGAAAAGTGCAAACTGTTGATCAAGTTTCATACTACTTATGGAGGGTTTCATGCTACTGAAATCAGTTGGTAGCGGTGTTGTCGGAAGTGAACTCTCGTCACCCATCCGCCCGTCTCTACATCTGTCAATCACCTCCAGTTCTGGAGCTTCATCCAACCTCTAGGATGGAAGAGGAGGTCGATCAACATTCCGACAGGCAGGAAGGAAGGGTGGACACATGGAAAAAAAGTAGGCAAATTCTGTGCCAATCAATCAGGGGTAAGCGGAAATTACTGTTGGACTATTTTCCAACTTGCAAAGCTTGAGACCAAGTTTGTTAAGCAAACGATCGTATCTTTAGTTTTTTTTAAAATATCTTTAAAATTTATTCATTCCAAGGAAAACATGACTTTCTGACAGCCGAGCGATTATTTACGCGGTTGGAAGTTGAAGTTGGCACCAAAAGTGCATTACATTTGTTAATGAGTGAAAATTTACTTCATTTGTCCACTGCTTTCTCTCCCTTTCTCTTTCCACCCTCCTCTTCGGTCGCATCAGGGATTAGAAGTGGAGGATGTTGTAAGAGGGTCCGAAAAAGGGCTTCCTACGGTGTCAAACGTGTCATTGTCAGCGTGCCAAAGGAGCACTATTTAACACACATTAAGGAATTTAAATGCTCTTTTGTGGAATTGAATCAATCTTCAATGTTTTCATGTCCAATCCGCCAATTGGCAAGGCATGTCTAAAAACTTGCCATGTCACTACCCTTTTTTTCTTGACACATTAAGTTGTGCAATTCGTTGCAATACATAAGCTCGAGGAAGATGTCGTGCTGACACTTTTTCATCCTAGTCAGCGATTTATTTATTTTTTTTTTGGGGAGAGAAGGAGACAAAGGGACATTTTTGTAGCCTTCAAGTAACTGTCATCCACTGCTAAATCCCACCTGACATGAAATGGACAGTTGGAAAGCTAAGAGACTGAGGGTGGAAGGTAAATTGGGAGATTGTAAGTCAACTCTAGAACATGTCGACACTGACCCTCTTCCACCTTTAATATTTACACTCATGTTTACCGTCTAGGCGAAACAAAAGTTCTGGAAGTGGAACCGATTTGTTCCACTCACCTGACTTAAATCTGTATTAAATGGCGAAGCGGGAATTAGAGAGACGACAGTCTACGAAGGGCTGAAAAATGAGTGATCAGAGCTAGAACCATTGACTTCTACTACAATGTCGTCGGAGAATTTCGGACCCTGGGGAATCAGACAATCAAGGACGAATGGTAATCCTTCCATCTGCAACGGCTTGGTGACAGAGAAAAGCCTAAACCCTTCTAATCTATTTTTCGGAGGGGGGAAAATATCCGCCAAATTGTCACCCTGAGGGTGGCAAGGCGGACAAGTTGATGACTTTATCGAGAGGAGAGGAGAAAGTAGAGAACGGAAAAGGGAAGATTGTTGGCTAAATAGGGTCACAAAAATTTTCATTATTCCATTCCTTCAATTGCAAAGGTCGTCCATATCGTATACGCGATTTCCCAACAATTCCTTCATTAACATGATGCCGGATCAGGAATGACCTTGACGAGTCAGATCCTTCCCTCCGCTTTAGCTGCATAACAATGACAGTACTTTGTTGTGAATAGACACTTCCATTACCATCAAAGGGAGGACTTTTTATGTGACTTTCGCTTGTCAGACGGCTCATTCGTTCCTTCGCTCTCTAGTTGGCTGAAGTACTTGACTCGTTTACCAAGAGCAAAAGAAAGATACGGAAGATATTATTGACTTTGATGGAATTAAAAAGTGGAGAACTGCTCTTCACTAAGCAAAAAAATGGGGCTGTCATGCTGGCGTGTTTAAGGTTGTCAAACTTATTGATCTGACATCAATCGATTGTGTCATTGCTGCCACTATCGTGACGGTGTGTTTAAGTCATGGTAGGTTCTTTGTCCTCTATTTTTTTAAGTAGTGATTTTTGTCTTCCTTTTTTTATAAAAATGCATAAAATTGTAGAGGGAGGTAATTTCAATCCACGTTGGCCAGTGCGGTGTGCAGATAGGAAACGCGGTTTGGGAGCTCTATTGTGCTGAGCACGCAGTTTCAAATGAGGGCGCTCTGTTTGAGCAACCTCATGAATTAGAGTGGGTGGAGACCTTCTTCAACATCTCCGAACAAGGTCGCTACGTTCCACGATGCCTGTTTGTGGATCTCGAGGCGTCAGTTATTGGTTAGTTGGAATTGTCTCAATTGCATTGTCATGGAACCGTGGCTGGAATAACTCCTCTCCTCTTCCTGTTAGACGAAATTCGAGTTGGTCCATGGCGTAAACTCTTTCATCCGGATAAGCTAATCACAGGATATGAGGATGCTTCTAACAACTTTGCTCGTGGATACTTTACCATCGGAAAGGTGCTTCTTTCACCAATTTTGAATGAAGTCAGACGCACAGTTGAACAGTGTGACAGTCTTCAAGGCATTCTTTTCTTTCGCAGTCTTGGTGGTGGTACTGGAGCTGGTCTAACTGCCGCCTTGTTAGATGTGCTTGGAGACTATCGAAAGTACACAAAAGTGGAAATACCCATCTATCCATCACCATCTCTGTCCAACGCTTTGATTGAACCCTACAATTGCCTCTTAGGTGAACATTTTACTATGGAAGACTTCAATATTGGCCTTCTCATGGACAATGAGGCTATGTATGATGTGTGCTCCCGTTTCCTCTCCTCCAGCTACACCACATACACAAAGATTAATCGTTTGGCTGCTATTGTCTGCAGTGCAGTTACAGCTTCACTTCGTTTCAAGAATGTTCTCACCTCAGATCTCAATGTAATGCAAACTAACCTCATACCCTATCCACGCATTCACTTTCCCTTGGCCAACTTTGCACCCATTCAATCCACCGAAAAAACTGCCTATGAGCCCTCCAAGGTGGTGGAGATAACTCGCGCTGTGTTTGAGCGTGAGAATCAGTTGATTAAGATTGATCCAACCTATGGCAAATTTATGTCTTGCACCCTTCTCTATCGAGGCAATGTCAGTCCCGGGCAAGTTTATGTTGCACTGGCTGAAATGAAAAACTGTCGAGGCCTGGAATTTGTGGATTGGTGTCCCACTGGTTTTAAAGTGAGCATTACAAGTGAGACTCCAGTCACTCGATGTGACAGTGGAATTGGTCAGACCAGTCGAAATGTTGTCATGTTGGCCAATAATTCGGCTGTTGGGCAGGCATGGCAACGAATAGTGCATAAATACTACATGCTCTATTCAAAACGTGCTTTTGTCCATTGGTATGTGGGTGAGGGCATGGAGGAGGATGAATTCAATGAGGCTCTTGTCAACATGACTTCCCTAGTACGAGACTATGAGGAGGTGGCACGTGATTCTGTCGACACTCAAGTGTGTTAACAAGTAAAAGGATCCAAAAAAAATTGTGGACAAAAACAAACAAAGAAGAATGAAGAGAAAGGAATTCACTTTCTTCAGTTAGAAAACGAAAAGAGAAGATTCAATGCCTCAGCATATCCACTTTCACCGTCTATCTTCCACCCTCCCTCCCTTCGAATCCATTTTCTGGCATTCAAGCGCTTGCGATAGCTATGCATGCTTCGCTTTTATGTTACATTTGGTCAACATAAAATTGACTTATATGCGCTTCATGAACAATAAACGTCTCTTTTACCTTCCCTATCAGTAGGGTTCACAATGTCGTTGGAGAAAGACAGACTGATAGACATCAGGGCTACCTCAAGTCAACCATTGACTGCTTTTTTACCGTTTCTATCAATATCAGGGCAAAAGAGACGAGTAGGATGAGGATGCTTATGTGACAGCATGTTCCTTTCCCATCAAGCGCTTTAATTCCCTCTTCACTAGTACCAGTTACCACCCATAACGCGTCTACAGCGTAGGCGTTATAAGTTCTTGAGCTCCAGAAATAGACGCGTTGGACTCATAAAAGTGGCGAGATCTCGATGCCTCAAGTTGCGAGCTGAATTTAGACCATAGACTAGTTGAATGGGTATAGCATTTAGACACGAATCAGGGATTCAAAATGAGCTGGAATTCTTACAAGATACAAATGAACCAAACCTTCGTAATGCTACCGACTCAACTCATCCATTATTAGTGTCAAACGTAAGGCTTAATTTTTGAGGGAAGAGTCGTTGCAATCGTGAGAAATTAGAACAAAAGAGTAGCTGAAAGTTCTTGCCAAGTTTTTGCAATCTTAACTTTGGCACGTTAGCCAATCCCTGAGAGCGATATCAAGCTTGAACTACTTTTACGACTTTGTCATAAGCACTGAGGGTGTGAGGGTTAAATGGAGAGACATTGCTAAGAGGTGACTGTCCCAAGTTAGGTGCCCTCTACAGAAAACAAATGTTACTAGGCATTTAATTTTACGCACGCAAAGAATCTTTCACAATACTTTAAAATGCAGCAATGTTCAAGTACGCCCCAACAGTTGAGGTCTATTGTGGTAGGCACTCGAGGGGTGGCAAGGACAATTTCAATTTATTAAAGCAAATTAATCTAAACTGCAAAGTATGAGGTATGTTAATGTGAATTCAGAATACGTGGCAGTAAATGGTGTGTTTCGGTGTCAAGCCAGCCAATCACAGTGTAAGAAACTATCATTTCGCCAATGACCCATTAGCTCATTTGCCCAATCAGATATTTTGCTTAAATCTCCCCACTCTATAAGTAAAATCAAAGTAGAAATGGGGCTTTTAGTTCAAGTATTTTATCGAGGTACTGTGATGAAGTAGAATGTCCACTTCAACCGAAGAAATTTTTTCCTTTTAACTAATACCCCTAATTAACCCACCGATTTTTGGAAAAAAAGCAATCTTTAAAATATATTTAAGTAGATCTGTTATACGTATTGTTTTTAGTAATTTTTTTTTTCGACGTAAATTGGAGTTACTTTGGTGATCACATTGTTTTTTGCTGAATGAACTGGCCTCTGGACCATGTTAACAGCCCAAGTGCCTTTATGTTCACCGCTTATGTATACACATTTTCTGCCTAGGTGTTGTGCCCTACTTTAAGGGACTTTCATCTCTAAATCTTCCGCGTGTATTATACTTTACCTGTACCAAGTTTCTCAAATGTATCTAAATAGAGAAGTGAGTTGATAAACCCATGCTATCGTCTCCACCACCCTATCAACTGAAGATAATGCAAATTGTTATAATTATCTAGATTCAAAGTTTAAACAAACGTGGAGCGGAGGAATTACCTTTAAACCCTTTGCGAAGAACTTGCATTTAAATAAATCAACTTTTAGTGCAGCATTCCAATATCTAGCTATGGTCTTGCATAACAGCTGGCAAACACTCTCATCCTAATTCCACTTTATGGACCAAACGAAGCTCCAAATCCAACAGAGTCATTCAGAGGCATTAGTAATGCCCCGATTAAGCATTCCTTTATTGCAGTGGATAAAATGGTTGACCCGTGGATGTCTTAGTGTAGCGCTAGTTATTTTATGATAACTCACTCGATAAGTCTACCATGAGGAGACTCGATCTATTGTGTGTGTGACTGATGATTTTGGGTAACGCTCATTGTCATCGTTGGGTGTGCCGAAATCTGTACCATAACAGCAGTGTTGTTCCTCTTCAATTCTCCAACTATTTGCACATTCTGTCCTTAGTACTGTGCGCAGAAATTTGGAAGTGCTTCTGTCTGAATTTTGACTCTCGCATCTACCTGACAAGATAAAAACCATAAATTCAAATTAAAACGGGACTGTGAGGACAAGTTTTACCAGATTTCTAAAAGGAAGTAATTTTTGTCGGGATTGTTTCGCACCTCCTTTAAAGGCGTGTCATTAAAATTCGTTCTTCAAGGGATTAAACCTCTCTGATAAAGAGTAATGGTAAAGAATTAACGATACAAAATGAATTTTAGGATGTGCACACATGCAACTTGTGAGCTTAAAGTTTTAATAGAAAATGTAAAATCGGTGTTAAAGCAGAATGGAGAATTTGACACAATATTGACATTTGACGAGGGTGATGATATGAGTGAGTGAATGAAAATGAAAAGAGACTGTGTTCTATCGCTTTAAATTTAGCAAGTGGTGAAGTTTGTGGCGATTTAAAGGATGAGGGATGGGCAACAAATTGAAGGTATTGTGGTGAGAGATGGTCTAGCTTTGTCTTAGATGACTACATGCTCTTCGGTTGGTTGTGCAATTGACTGAAGGAGAAGTGAATAAGAAAGTGGAATTAATAAACACGCCATAAAAAGCATTGAAAAGGGAGTCCAATTGTCATGAGTTAACACAGGTTCGTACAAACCGCACTTCGTGATAGATGATACCATTCCAACGCAGAAAAAAGGTAAGACACAGTGCCGTCCTTTGCCTTCTTATCACCTTGGTGACAATTCGTATTGTTTCCAGTCTCGTCTCATCTCACGCCTTCTCAGCCTAATTCCTGATCCCCAAAAGGCTGCACAAGGCGTTTGATAGTGGAATGGAGAGTAAGAAAGTAAACTAACGACTTACATCCTGCATCTATCGTTTTTTTAACATTACTTCTTAAAGTCTTTAGTAGTTGGGTATGCTCTCGAAAATGTGGCACAATCGCAATGATTTTAGGTGGAGGTGACGCAATGAAAAATATGCAAGTCAGCATATGCAAGGAGGAAAAGATGGCAACACTAACAAACGTTGTAGTTTGAATTTAACTTTTTTAGGCAGTACTCGTACTAATGTTTTGAAGACACTTAGGCTTACACATTTATGAGAAGTTATCAACCATTGTCAAAATTTTTCATTCGAATCATTATGAGCAATGGTCCTTTCTACTCACAAATCGTTCAGTAGTAACGACGAATGAAGCAGTCGCCTATAAGGCTGAGCAACCAAAGGGATCCTCTAGGATAAGTAACCCACTATAAACGATGTTAATGCCAGTGCAAGCGAGAGGAGAGGCGAGATCTCAGCCTTTATATGATTAAGCAACGGAATCGCATCGAGTAATTTCAGTTCGCCCTTCCCCACCTTCCACAGTAGAGCGAATTTTCTACCGCTAAAATAGTGATTTTGAGGGAAAGAACAACCCACGCAACAATTCCTTCCAAAGAAACGTGGATTAGAAGGAGGAACACAACTTCTTAGCATGTAATTCACTCACTTTATTCATGGGATCTAAATTTTGTCAAAACTTCTATCGAAACAAAAAAGGACGCCGAAAGGGCAAAATTTAAAACAAAGGATTGAGGAATAATCTGATTATAGAACGACGAGTTATACAAATCACTGAGTACATCGAGAAAAGTAAAATAATATCCAGTGTTAGTTGGCTTTTCTATCAAAAACATCCTTTTTTTCTTATTATTCACTGTGGCCATGTGATAGTGTCACTTAACGTCCCAAAAAACATGTGTCTGCCACTTTGAGAAAAAGGAGGTGGGGGGAGATATAGGGTGAAAGGAGAAGGGAGGGAAGAGGAGGGAGTAGCTGTCACCAGGGCATCGTGAGGAATGCAAAAAGTCGAGGCTTTTAAACGGCCAGTTTCCACCCCCTCCCCTCCCCTCCGTGACTCATCGTCCAAATCAAACAGTATGGAAACCATTTCTGGATAATGCATTTGTGCATTCCACTGCTCCCCCTCTCCAAATGTCAAGCAACAGACGGGAATAGAGGATTAACCATATGCGCAATCGAGCAAACTTTTATTAATCTAGATCAACTTGAATCAGGCACAATATCAACCCGATTATGTCACCTAAGTTCCAGCTCCCAGAAAGGACAGTCTAAGGTTTTCTAGCATACATAAAAATGGATGATAACCGAAACACTATTTAATGAAAGACACGAATAAAAGCTAGCCGAAAAATTTTGGTAATTTACTTATAATATGCTTTCACAAACATAACATTATCAGGCTAATAAGTAAGTGAAGTCGCCGAATCCATTCTAAGTCTGTAAAATAAATAAAAACTTAAGAATCGAAGTATCACATTGCATGCTGCGTTTGGTTTAGCCCTCTCTCAATGCTTAAATGTGGCGGAGAATGCGGATTTAACTTGCTGTCGTACGAAACCCATAACGTACGATTTGACAAAACTGCATTGACGCGTTAGCTACAGCATTAACCAATAAGTGCGCGCATAATGTATAAACATGTAAAAAGCCATGTCGCTTCTGTTGACGGTATACTAATTTCTGGGATGCTCTACGCAGCATTATTTGGCCTCTCGATAGGGCTTGTAAATAAAAGAACTGAATGAAAAGCAAAATACGGGATTTTATATATCCTTTTTTTCGTTTCAGCGACCCAAACTCCCACATTAAAACGGTTTAATTTGTTCCTAATAGACACGCATAAACACAAAGAAGTAAGGTCTCTCAAAGGGGAATAAACGGATTCTATTCAGAATTTTGGTTGGTGAACTGTTTACTTAACTAATTACGGGGCTAAACGAAACAAATGTGTATTTTTCTTTTGTTTTAACTTACGTCATAAAGCGTAAATAATTTCAAGGTCAGCGAGTCGTTTCGACCAAATTTCCATCTCAAAAGTTGCTCCCATTCTAAGGCATTTCCAACACGCTTTTTCTGCTCATTTTCAAAAAAAATTAGGAGTGAAACGTACATTTGCACCACATTATTAAGTTAAACAATCCAGTTGTTATTCTTATAAATCCATCTCATAGAGCATTGCAAATTAAGCGATTTGAAGGCTTACGAGTGATAAAATTTGCGTCAGTTTGTGTGTTTTCCCCCAGGACGGGGTATATCTGTTGGTATGTGATGAGTCCAATTCGTTATTCAGGGGTTTAAGATTATTACTGCGAAAGTATGGCGGCGAAAGTTATAATCTCCTTTTTACCGCAATAATTTAACCTTAATAGGAGTCTTATGGATACAAATCTCCGCTACGCCGTCTTTCTTGCCCTCTTAAGGGAATTTGTAGCCTAATAAATTGGACAGATATGTCGCACTATTTACCCCTTCCCATTCTCTGAGTTGTGTGCTTGTATATTGGTCCCTTTCTCCACTATCTTGCTGCCAGTTACCTCTTTTCGGAGACGTTAAAACCAACTATTAATAGGCGTTGGTGCTAGGGATGAAAATAGTACGGAACTTAATTACCATGTGCCGTCTGTACACAGCTACTATTCTCTTTTTTACAATTTGCACAGCTTTTAGGGTCAGCTTGATCGTAAACCTGGTTGTTTGTCTAATGATTGATTGAAGGAGATGGAAGGGTTGCTGATCCTATCAACACTCCAGATCCCTCGGCTACAATCCAGTCCAAGGGAACGTAAGTTAACAATTTAAAAAGAGGCCAAGTTCACATGTTTGGTCATTTTTTAGCGTCAGGCACGCAAGATTGATGGTGGCACTTGAAATGGCGTCGTGATAAGTAAGCAAAGTTTGCGTGTTAACTCAGTTAAAATGGTTTGCATAATGCACAGACGGAGGGGAGAAATATTTATTGCGTTTTGATTGGGCACATTCAAACGGCCGATCACATTTTTATTATTAGTCAATTAAAGGGTAAAACTTGCCTTACACTAAAGTAGCATTTTTTTCTTTCCTATAAATAAATAGGGGTTGTTTAGAGGGGAAAGCAGTGAGTAAACAGTTGGTATTACCTAACTCACGGTCGTGCATAACAAGTGTTTAAGTCGAGGATGATTAATTACTAGCGGGCGATTTTTATTCTCCCGTTCCTCTCGTCTCCCATTTCTAGGGCGAGAGGAATTCACCCCGTTGACCTTTCAGAGCGATCACCTCATCGGTAGCAGTAGAAAAATCACATCTCCTTACAGACAGTATCAATAATACTTGGGTAATACGCAGTGATTTTTATAATGGTCAGACGGTAGAGCTCTCTAGCTGGCACCGGCAGTAAATGTCTTTTTGGAAGAGATTGATTGAGAGAAATGCTCTGTACGACTCCTCACAATACCTCCACATACAGTACTATGCGCAAACAGGCTGACAAGGCGACATTGCCTGTCCACTCAACCGACTTTTCAAGTCTGGTGGATAATCTGAGGAGGTTTTTGGGCTGAATATCCTCGTCTAACAGCAATTCTTATTTTGACATTTAAAGAATCTGTAGAAGTAGAAAGTCCCTCTAAAAATGAGTTCAAAAGGAGACGAAAGTGATGAATTACCAAAGGTTGGATATTTTCCTTCTCACAGACTAGCTGTTCCTCTTTTAGACAAGGACACTTCCGAATTAATTCGTCGGAAATATAAAAATTTTTCCCCGATTAAAGTAACAAAGAAGACCCAAATCTTGTTTGTCCCACACTAAACGGGGTGGTTGTGGAAGAATTTCATTTAGATGAATGCCATATGTCGGTCATTACCAAATACTCGTAACCTTCTAATTGATCCTCACCTTTACAATACTCTTAATTGTTTGCTGAGTGTATGGCCTCCGGTTTGATGGAGTGATAACCGATGCACGCATCTATCACGGTACTCCTCTGAAGCAAACTTGATCGAAGATTTTTTGAGAATTCGTTGCCGAAGCTGATGATTATCAATAAGACCATGCAAAACTTATCACATCTCACATTGACTTGGAAGATGCGAGAAAGTTGATATAAAGGAAGTTAGGAATAGCTTGCCTCAGTGACCTTTCCTAACTACCAAAGTGTCACTCAATCACATAAGGAATCGGTCGAGGGATTTTTAAGTATCCCAAATCACTAAGTCGACTTTGAGCCTTAAAAATAATCTTAAGGTTAGCCAATAAAATGTAGAAGTATTGTCAAAAAAAGTCGAAGAATTGTTACCTTAAATTTCCGTCTGATAGCTTGAGGTGTTTTTGGGCCTAACAAAGGAGTCGAGGGGAACATTAGTGCATCAAAAGCGGGTTCCATCCAAAATTCTTTGTTGAGATGCTCTACTTGACTTCAGAACAAAGGCCTTTCCCATTGGATAAAGTAAATGAGAAAACTACTTATTGTTGTTTCTACACTGTTATCCATTTTGAAGGAATTGGCACCTGCAAGTCTTGTTCAACAAAAAAGTTCAAACGTCAAAGGAGACATTTATGATGACTTTATTCTCAGTTAAAAACGAACCAATAATGTGATAGTTTCGTCTTCCAATAATGAATAACTTATGCGCTACAAGGTACAGGAGGCGATCCCTTCACCTTTATTGCCCAAACTTTATGATATTTTAAAATATTTAAACAGATTCACAAAAAAAGCAACCCGGAAGGGGAGCGGAATCAGGGGCGGGAGCGAAGGCGGGAAGAGAGGTGGTCAAGGGTAAGAAGGGGAGGCGGAAAGCAGCTTTTATGACAGTTTCCAAAAAAAAAGGAACATGCAAAGTGCAATGGACTCTAGTCAGCTGCTGTTTACGTTGAGCTGGAAGTAAACAGCAAAAAAGGCTTGGAGTTCCAAACATCGGAACGGTAAAAATCCCAACAAATAGGTGCACCGCAGAAAGGCAAATTGCCATCCAATCTGAGATGACATCTTGAGGATGCGGCATTCTAAGTCAGACCTTAAAAAGGCTGCAAAAATCATTAGCTTTCTTTCCTCTGGCATCACAGTAGACTGTTAATATCAACTTACTTTTGAACTATCAGATCTCGGAATAATCGTCAGATCTCAACCCACAATAAAGCCTAGGATGGCTTAGACAAACTGTATACTACTTCCAAGTCAATTGCGTTTACGAGGAGGCGCCTTCAAGCGATCTAAATTCTACTGCTTAGGTCCCCAAATGATATATCAAAGACCACAAATGCTTTTCTATAGATTGAAAGTATTTCTTTAACAATAGCAATAGTATCACAGTGATGAATGTTAATAAATAAAAAATATGCCTTGCATACGCTTTTCCCTGCCACTGCTCGTTTCATCGTACAAGACCTCACTCCCGTTGCAGGTTGAGGTAATAAAACGATTTTAGAGAAAGCACTACGGAACCGATAAAATCAACTTAAAAATAACATTTTCCATAAATTGTAAAAGGTGTACTTTAAAAAGACAATATAATTATTGACTGGTCATATACATATCCTGTGTCAAGCTTATTTTTGTTGCTAATGTGTGTGTGAGTGGGTGGGTTGATGATCGCAAATTGGTGTTTGGTAATTGCCTGATTGGACCGAATGCGTTCTGGTTGTACGCTATTTGATTGGCTTCTACCTTTGACCAATTGCAATGGTGGAAATGATAGTACACACAAGTGGATGCTCGCACAGAACGATCACACGAGTTGATCCAGAGGGCAAATTACCTCACATCCAAAAGTACTACCATCAATCATGCTACTCTCAACATGAATATCACCAACATTACCTTACCTTCAGAATCCCAGCTTCGTCCTTATGCCTACCTCTATGAGGAGTTGTGCATCTACTTCTTGCGATGGTACTTACCAACCACAATCATCGTTGGTACCATGGGAACTTTATTTAGTCTCTTTTTCCTATTTTGCTCAAGGCTCTTTCAATCAAATATGCTGCTCTGGCTCTCCAGCATCTGCATTGGTGACTTCTTCATTCTCATGCTTGAGGGAATGTGGATTTTGTTGAAGGTATGGTTTAAATATGACATTCGTGATCACAACGATTTAATTTGTAAAATTCACAAGGCTGCTTCAAACTATGCTCTCTACTGGTCAGCTTATATGCAATCTGCACTGTCAGTGCAGCGCGCCTACCTGGTTTTCAAGCCACTTCACGCTCGTGGTCGTGGAGGCATCTCCAAGAGACATCTCTGTGCGTGGACTATGATTTCGATCATCCTTGTGGCTCCTGTGGCGCCCTACATTATTTACTGGCGAATAATCGACGGCGACTGTGATCCTACGGATAGGGATATATTCTATCTAACAACACTCTGTGACCTAATCATATGGGGGATAATTCCGTTGCTTGGAATGACAGTGGCCACGGTAGTCATTTGTCTCAATATGGCCAAATTGGGAAATAAATTTAAAAGAGCTAAGGTGGCAAGTTCAAAAGGATCACGGAAGTTCTCTGTATGTATTACACCCGAGGTTCCACCATTTCATCGTAGACGTGGACTATCCACTCCATCAATAACCACTGTCCTACTCAGGTCCACTACTGACACCCAAACTCTGTCATCACGGCTCATGGACCACCTAAAGCAGTCTGAGGTGGGCCAATCGCCCATGGAATATTCATCTTCTCAACTAGAACGACAACTTACCGACCATAGCAGTAGTCGGCACAATGCACCGGACAACTTCGGTCATGTAACACGTCTCCTCATCTGTATGAATATTGCCTACATGGCAAGCACATTCCCTCTCCTCATTTTCCTCATGTTTCGTAACTTCAGTGGAGTAGACGTTGATCCCGATTTTCATCGGTTCTGCTATTACCTATTTCGTAGTCTTTGTTTCCTTAACTCCTGTACAAATTGGATTTTCTACTGTCTCGTGGGCAAATTGTTCCGTGAAGAGGCTAAACACATCCTCCGTATGTGCTGCGGTCTCCAACCCAAAGTGCCATCGCGAGGTGCTAGCACTCACTCAGGGAAGGCATTGGCACTTCCACTGCCCAGTATGCGCACGCCTGAGGTGAGTCATCACACCTCACCGGTAAAACGGATTCGATCGATAAGTGCGATTGATATTCGGCGTGCTGTAGCGCGGATACCTGCGCGATGAGAACGGTTTTTCCCCAGTATTTATTGATGACTGTGATATTGCCAAAAAAGAGACAAAAAATAAGAAAAGCATATTTTATCCGATTTGTTTTGGTTGTGTGCGCATATGAGCAGATTTTGTGGCTCTGTATTAACTGGGCAAATGACTTCTTGTGAATCGAAGATGATTTATTGTTTGTTAATTTGGACGATCTCAGAAATAATTTTTTAAGCACTTTGCATCCTGATTGCAAGGGAGACGTAATAAACGAGTGAAAACTGCATTTATGCAAAGAATGTTGGATTGATAAAAGTGAGGAATAAATTTTTCAGCTTACAGAAGTAGTTCTACGTAAATCTTGTGAGGGATGTCGAACCATATTTTGGCCTTTCAGTGGTGGCTTGTTTATTGATACGTGTTTATTTTACTATGAGGTTTTTGGTATTTGTTCGAGGAATTTTAGAAATCAAATCAAAATCACCTGGTTCCCACTTATAACGGATATGCGCCACATATTTGTGGCATCATTGGGGCAAGGGAAATTAAGTACCATGTGTCGCATTAGGTGAGATTGAACGATTTTATCATTCAAGGTTTTTTCCCAGAGGGGAAAAACAGATCTCTATAGAGAATAATTGCTACTTAGTTGGCTTCCCATGGGGTTGAGGCTGTGACATTCCTCCTCACCGTCCCAATCCTTCCTCCATCCACCCCACTCCTCTTCCTTCTCGTAGTCCAATGGCAAATGTTCTTTGAGGTCTCTTGTGATTTGCTGCACAAATTGCCTCGAGGTGCTCTGTGAGTACTTCACTATCCATCATTCATTTGATAGTTACGAGTATTTTTTAAGGAGGCATTCTACTTGCACAACATTCACCAGCATTCAGTAGAAGGCATTTAGCAAATAAATAACTCCTGGTAAAAGTCACGTCCATAATCTATCAAACCTAAAAATCGGAGCATAATTATCATCCTCCGATGGAGCGCATTGTATAAAGACCACTTATTCAAATGATAAATGGATAAAAGATGCGAGGCAACACTTGATTATCGTTGAGAATTATTATTTGTTTGTCAACAGGTAGTTCATGCCATCCATTCACTCAGACTATGTGAATTTTATGGGATAAACATTGGTCTGTTCCCTTCTAAAAGTTATTGCTGGTAAAAGGCTAGCTTTTAAAGAGCATACATGATTGAATAACATTTTGTGTTGATACCTTCCCCTAGCAAACCTTCTTAACGTGATTCTTATCAAAATAGGAGATATTTTTCTAGCATGCAAAACTACGTCGCATTGTGTTCGAGGAACAGACAATCTCTAATTACACAAAAAGGCCTTCCCAAGCATCTTACAAATTAAAGGTATGCAAAGAAGTACAGTCAATGGAGTGGAACAAATTTACAAACAGACAAACAAGGGGGCGACTTTAGAATTTGTTGTCTGCAAGTTCTGACTTTCATTTTAGCGACGAAAGAAGTGTTTTTTGACCCTTTCAACGCCACTGAGAGCTCAAAACTCACCGCACATCTGGTCATCTCTGCCCATATAAACAAGCAATCATGAAACGTAGTCACTCAAGTCAAGTCTACTGTTCCAGATGGGGTGCTGAGGGAGACAACTTAAACGAAACCGCGATCTACTTAAATCAAGCCAAAAGACCAAGATGACGTCTTTGTACGCGGATTAATACCGACTCTTCAAATCTTACAGCATGAAGGACAATAGCTGATGGAATTCTATTCTAGACTGCAATCCCAGGTGGTCTCATAACTTGAGTAGTCATTGTTAACCATGTTTACTGTTCTTCCTCGTAGTTGCCGTTTCCTGCACATTTTGACCAAATCATGTGAAAAGTGAAAAGGGCCATGTGTAACACAACGAGTGCTACTAATAACGCCAGCAGTAGTATGTGGGCAAAATATACTAAACATGCTATTTCAAAAAACACAGTTCCAAAAGATAGTAAGACAAAAGAGTAGCAATTTTGTACCAAACGTTTACTTAAGGTGATTTATTAATCACTAAAAGACGTTTTTCAAATGCCAACTTTTGACAAATAATGTACGACATTTTGAAAAAAATCACTCTTAGCAAATAAACTTATTACTTCGTTGTGACATTCCACGAATTACACTACTTTTGTATTTTATATAATAAATCTTGATTTAATATTCTGGGAAGCTCTCGGCCTACTGGTTCAAAAACCTAAATTCGGGATTGTGTCTAAAAATGCAGTCATAAAAAGCGAAAAGAAGGGTTTATTTTTGACATAAACTGAATTGATGAGAGACTGCAACAGATTTTTGCTTGCCACGTATCGAGCATAGCATGCATCCAAACATTCGAGGTCTTCCTTCAACACAGTTGACAAGTTCTTGACTTCATTTTTTTTAACGTGAATATGCCCATTCACTTCGTCCACCTTTTTATACCAGTGATTTCTTGTAATGCATAGCTCACCTCCATTACTCACTCATACATTGGGATTTTCACGTGACCGACGATCTCTGCCTCCTCTTCCTTCTCCTTCTCCTTCTCCTCCTCCTCCTCCTCCTCCTCCTCTTCTCTCGCTTAAGCGAAAACGTCCACCTCAAGGCCAGCGCAACCACACA